ATTTTCATGTCTAGCGCTTAAGAGAATTTAGAGACAAATCTTCATATTTTAACCTTCATTAGTACTTCTTCTTATGAATTCAATTGAGATCTATGTATTAGTATTTTAAAATCATTATTTTAAGCGAAGATTTCTAATTATTTTAAACATTCTTATACTCCATCAACAATGTATAACAACGAAAATGGTGACGATGTAGTTGATCCTTGTAAGTATTCATGATTATTGATCAATTACTAAACAATTACAAACATGGAATTAGTTGATTTTTATTATAAGAAATTGCATGATAAAAAATATTAAACTATTTCGATTTTCTCGCAAACGTTGCCAAAATAGTGAGGGAATCGTGTTAATCACATGTCGACATTAATATGATCATAATACTTTAAAAGTGGTACTTGTACTTTTCATCGTGCTCAAACCTTTTATAATCTACGTTAAGCTATACTATCGAGAGTAGAGAGAGAGAAAACGTTCATTAACAGAAAGATTTACTAAAAGCTTTTGACAGAGGAAGGTTAATTGTCACTCGACCCATCAATATTCTATATATATATCATTCAATATACTTTGCAAATTAGAATTGTGCATCCTCCATTATCACAAGCACAAGTTATTTCTAACTCATCAGTGCAACCTTTCGTATATTACTATCTTCGCCCTACCATGCAAAACGTGAGTTGTAACTTACCACTAAACGTTATAAAAATAGAAAACGTTTTTTCTTTCAAAACGAAAAAAGTTTTAGAAAAAAAATAGTGCGTTTTTAATCATTTTTTCTATTTTTAGGTGTCTTTTAGAAGAGGATAAGTGACGGGCGTTTGTGATTTCTATAGTATTTAGTGATCAGGCAAAACTTACGTTCCACGTGGCGATAAGTTGTTTGATAGTAATGTGCATAGAATCAACCATTCGAAGCAAGATCTTTTCTGCATTGAGGGCAGGACAAAAGTCGACTAATTCTTTTAATTTTTTTTGTGACGAATAGAAGTTTGAGGAAAAATTCTTGAGTGATTATTGAACAGTTCGGTCTAATAAGGTAAAACAGTACACTTTTTATACTTGATTTAACCAAGTGTCTGATCTAGTGTTGTTTTAGCCAACCGAAAGAGTCTTTTGACGTCATTATTATACAGTACAGAACGCTGCGGTGACAAAAAAAAGAATAAATTATTCTTTTTGGCCAATTTCGAACTTGTCTTCTTCTATTTTGTTTTCTGTCACTATCGTAATAAAAACTGATAAAAAATAGATGATAGATATTCTCATGCGACAACTAATAAAGTTGTCTATAAAAATCAAAAATCGAACGACGCTTCTTTTGCAACAACAAGAGCAGTCCTAACAAAACTAGAACTTCGTATTAGAAAACGTTTGATGAAGCCTAAATTTTTTTCTCAGTAACTTTGTCCGATAGATGTTGTATCAATTCGCCCTGAGTTCTATCTAGCTGACTACCATTCATTTTAAAACAGAATGTACTCTGTCAGTTCTTCAATAACATTAGAAAAAAGTAGAGATCTATGCTCTTCGCTATTCTATAGAAGAGACCTGAGAAGAACTTATTTTTACAAAAGAATATTTAAAAATCTTTTTCAAAAATAAGATTTTAAGAAGATCTTTGGAAAATCATGTCGGATTTTTAAGAGTTTTATTAACAATATATTGGTGTATTTACACGAGTAGTTACCTATGGTGTGGCCTTGATAAAAATTAAAACTTATATTTTTTTATTAAGAAAAAACCTTTTTCCAAATTAAAACGCGAGTTTTGAAATCAACATTTGCTAAGCGGTTCATTTATTTTTTTTAAGTAATCTTATAGGATGTTTTATCTCGCAGTTACAGATGTTTTTCTGGCAAGCTTCAAAATGGCACTTGTACAGATAGAAAAGGCTATTTTGCCAAGTTATGTTATATTTAATATTTTTGGTAATAAATGTTTATTTAGTGCCAAATTGTAGAGCACACGTTTCCCTACAAAATGGTGTGCCGCACGGCCTTGCGTGATTCGAAGAAAGGACGCTATAAGTATTCTATGAAAAGCCCCGTACCATGTAGAACGTGAAATTAACAAAAACGGAATTTGGAAAAATGAAGTTTTTTGTAGTTTTTTTCCGAAAAGCTGTACAAGATCGTACAATATGTCATTTTGTCGAGAAAATTCTGCTCTACACTTGTGTATTCCAGTAAAAATTTGATCTACTCCAGTGCATTAAATATTTTAGTAAATCCGGTTTTTTCTTTGTATGAGTGATATTTTGAAGCATACCAGAAAAACATCTATAATTCCGAAACAAAATATCCGGTAAAATTTCTAAAAAAGATAAATGAACAGCTTAGAAAATGTAGATTTCAAAACGCACGTTTCGATTTAAAAAATGGGTCTTTTTAAGGTTGCTCCAAGACTCTCGTGGCATAGGTTAATCCAAAGGGCCCTCTATAAAAGCTTTTCCAAACATTAGCGTGCATCTGTGAAGTCTCTAAATGAAATATTTATTGAGCTGCTCAAAATGTCTAGCACACATTTTTCTACACAATAGTGTATTAGCACACTCTATATAATTTTTTCTTGAAATTCTGTACTTATTTGGTGTTAAAAAACTTGTAGGAGATCTAATTTTTCACATGGTTTTCCAGAAACCTTCACAAATAAAAATATACAGTTTTCTCAATTTGACTTTTAAATTATAGCAGAGATTCTCTCGACACCCTTGTCTTATTAGTCATCAAACAAAAGGTGCAGAAAGAAAATAAATCTTTTGACTGATAATGTCTCAGCAGGAAAACAATTCTCTTGTATTGAAATGTGATCGCTGTGTTATTCATAAAAAATTCCATATGTTGTATTGTCTGAACCAATAATAATATACAGACTTTTTATTATTATGTAGTAAATTACTCTCTTACATATATGAGTTTGTTAAGGTCGTGTCTGGAATAATGAGAAATGACCGCAATATAATAATCATCGCTTCCTTTCATGTTGTACCCCCTAGTAAGACTCTTTGTATCAAGATCTTAGCAATTCTTAAATCATCGTTTTATTTTATACTCTTGTTTATATATAAGTGCAAAACTTTTTCTTTCTTCAGCGTATTTGTTCAAGAAAGAACTGACAATTATATATGGTCTTATGTTTGATAGTTGTGGTTATCTTATACAAAATGAATATAAATACAAAATTGTTATTCAAAATCTTGAAATTTTTGTTTCCGTGATCTTGAGTACGTTTCTCTAGAGACGTTATTGAGCAAACTATTGTTGAGTAATAACTTTCTGTTTGGATAGGTAAATGACTATAGTTAATTCTATTAGATTGACAGTCTCCATGGATCAAAATTTAGCGATAGAAAGACATTAGATAACATGGTTTCTATGATTAAAATTAACTGTAAACGATAAATGTCTATACTACAACATTTTTGTAAATAAACTAGCTAAGTTCTTTTCTTAATGATTACATTCAGGTAGTATCAAAATGATCCTGTTTTCGATGTTACATAGAGATACAAGTTGAATATCTATTTAATAATTAATATTGATGTTTGGGTTTATGAGATGAAACATAATTGAACATGGATGTTGCTTTGCTATGTAATGTCAAATCATTGTTATCTATTAGAAATCGAATGACACTTCGTCGTTGTGATCAATACATTTCAAATAAGTTTTTAGTCTATTCATTTATAGAGAAACGTAAAAGAAAGGGGAAAAAGTTTAGTCGTAACCAATCATGCATAGAGGATAATTTCTTTAATAAAGCAAAAACATCTTATATCAACCATGAACTTATCTTCTTTATATTTTAAATCGTTTCTTACACTACGTATAGACAGATTTATAATTGACGTGTGAGAGAAAAATGAATAAAATTAATATTTATCTCATTGAATAAAATTATATTACACAAAAACTAATGTAAACTATAGGTAGACTCCTTCTACATTTTGATAGAACCTTCAATTATTTTAAAATTTGAGGGGAGCCATTCTTTTCTACATTATCTTAGAAATCACACAAACTTAAGTGACGGTCTACAATTTTTAATACAATACAGCAATTACCACACGAATCTTGATTTTTCTTTGCATTTTAATCATTGTAGAAGCTAAATGTTAGACCTTTGTTCGATATTTTTTAAATCCGCAAATATTTATCATTTTGTTTTAATGAGATCAATAAGAAGTTGACTGTAGACAACATTGAACATCCAACGACTCTTTACTCATCAAACTGAAAGATTTATACTTTATTTTTTTAAACTTTTCATTTAAAATTTATTCTTACTGAATGTATTTATTTACATTCGCTCATTTCTCTTTTGTTTCTTCTTGATTTCAGAAAAAGTTTTCTTTTTCAGTTGAGCGTAGTGATTCATCTTCTACCGTAATATTCAAAATTACTAAACAAGAAACGTAGATATAATGTACTTTATCTGATTCAGGCGGGATATCTCTTTCCTACGACTAAAAGTGTCCTATCATCCAGTGACTTTACGTAAGAAAAAACATTCTACGTTTTTTTTTTTTGTCAAAAGTTATTATATGATGGTTTTTCGTGTGACCAGAATAGTTTTATTTTTTGTTTCCTCTTTTTATGCACCTGTACATAGAATACCTTAGATAGAAACGAAGTGTTGAGGTGTGTTAACCAACATAACGTTTTTAATCGTATATACGCGAGTGTGAGAAAAAAAAAAACGTAAATTTCAAAAACAGAACTTTATTCTCTTTTTTTTTTCTTCCTCTTTCTCTATACGATGACCACAATTAATCAAACAGCCAAATGACCGAAAGCGTAAAATTTACAGGCATGAATAGTAGAAAAAAAAATATAGGGAAGGGAGTTGAAATTTTTACTCAGCCATAAATCTTGTCTACGTAAATAATAAAAAATAGTACGTGCGATGATGATACAAATATTATACTTATGGAGACATATACATATATATGTTTAATGATAATTTATTAAATATTAATACGATAAGAGTTAAATATGGTGAAAAAACGTTCTTTTGTAGACGAACGAGAAGATGTTCAAAAAAAAGCATTTACAAAATGGATCAATACACGATTAACAAAAGTAAGAAAAATTAATTTATATTTTTATTTTTCATACTGATGCTAATGAAAGACATGAAACAGAAGAGTTATTTTGACATACGATACATTTTCTTTTATTTCTATTTTCTATATAAATAGAATCCAGAATAAGTTTTTATCTAGTAGAATTATTATATCTATCTGTCATAGAGTTATGCCTTTTTGATTCTTAAACTTGTCTTTGTCAAACAGCCATGACTAGGTTCTCATCTGTACATAAGTTGCTTCTGTAATTTCAGGAACAATAAATATAGACAACACACGCTTTGCTGTTAAGAGGATCTCCTATTACGAAGCTTTTTCTATATCGCGCAACTGAATAAATTGAAACTTTCAGAGATTAAAGAACATCCTTTCCATAGATTATGATGTCAGTTTTAGTTTCAATTAAGCAACTGTTCAAAAGTTAGTAACTCTTCCTAGTATGTAGAGCTAGATGTGAACAGTGCGCTTCACCGGGTACATTCTTCTGAAGTTGTCTGGCAGATGCAAAGATCTGGTTTATTTTAAACTAATTTTGACACTAAAAACCATTGGTCCAGGCGGGTTTTAGGTTCTTCTCCGTTGCATGCGTAAAACCACTGATCGAACTTAATATCCCTAGGATAAAATCAACTCTCCTAAATCGACTTGATCTTTCGTGCATTTTTGTTATGTGCTTTAAAACAAAAAGAAATTTGTTAGTACGTCTCACCATTTATAAGAAAAATGTGTCTTACTAACCGACACTAGAGCCAAAACTACTTATCAGACGTGCGTAGTGAATGTTTATACAAATGTTTATAACTTTATAATACGAAACCCCACCAGTTGCATTATATCTTAGAGTAAGAAACTTGGAAGCTTCAACAAGGCTGATTTTAAGACTTATAAAAATCTCTTTAAAAATTCTTTACAGAGCAGCAAATAATCCAAACACCTCAAAGTATGTCTTAAATAATAGCACTCAACATTGTGATAGCTCCCCCGATTAGTCAGTTGAAAAAAACTAAAAAATATTGATTAGTTGTGAGTGTTCAGGAATAATCAGTCATGTCCAAAGAAAATATCCATCTACAGGATCCAAGGCTCTCATGAGTACTAAAAAGCAGAGAAACCAAACTTTGACTATTCTTTCGTTATGTGTGAAACATAACAGAAATATTTCCCGTGGGTGGCGAAAATCAAAAATTTTCAAAAGCACAGATACGGTCTGATGTTTCACGATACGTCGTTTATAACGGTCCTGTACAAACTGGGTGGAAAAACACTTTCACAATTAGTGTAGAATTTTTCACGGTTGGCAAAGGATATCGAGAGGGAAGACAAAGATATTCGCTCGTCTCAGTTCATCAAAAGCTTTTGTTTTCTCTTGTAAAACAAAATTACGAAAAGGGAGATTGTTTAGGTCATTGATCAGCGGGATTTTCGACTTTTCATGTTATCAATATACAATAAATTCTTTTTATCATTTTTCTTCTTTATATGCTTTTAGGTAAACCATCCACCCGTTGACGATTTATACCAAGATCTTCGAGATGGTGTTGTTCTATTAAAACTTCTCGAATGTTTGACGGGAAACGAATACGTATATATTCTTTATAGCAGAAAAATCCCTGAATATACATAAATATTTTGGTTTATTTTAGAAACGCGAGATTGGTCGTATGCGTGTACATCATATTGGAAATGTCAACAAAGCGATTGCAGTATTGAATGAACATGGCGTATGTAACAACTATTCCTTGTTACTATTTGTAATAATTATATTTTCATTTATTTTTAGATTAAACTACTCAGTATTAGTAGCAATGATATTGTTGATGGGAATCCAAAATTAACATTGGCACTCATTTGGTCAATAATACAATTTTGGCAGGTATAACAATGAAAACCATTTTTAATTTAGAAAAATGATAATAAATTTGTTTTCTTTGAAGGTCAAGGATGTTTTTAAAACCGTTGCACCTGACGTTCAACAAAATAATATTGAAAAATTTTTACTCAATTGGTGCCAACAAACAACAAAAGGGTAAGCCATAAATGATTGTGCTCTATGTTTAATTTTATCCATTAGATCTGAACTTTTTAGCAATTTTTAATTCATGAGACATACTTCTTCAAGTTATTTTATTCTGTTTGTTTTTTGACTAACTCATCGATAGAGTCGATAATAATATAGAATAGAAAATGATAAAGTTGATCTTTTCTCGTCTTTTAGATACAAAGGTGTTGAAATCAAAGATTTTACACGTAGTTGGCAAGATGGATTAGGCTTTAATGCTTTAATACATCATTTTCGACCGGATTTATTTGATTATGACGAAATACTTCAAAATGCATCGGAAAGAAATTTAGAGCATGCATTTAGTGTCGCAAAAAATGTATTTAAAATCGAACGATACCTTGATGTTGAAGGTACGTAAACATTCATTTAGACACCTAGTATAATGTAAATAATTGTATAATTGCCAGAAGATCTAAACTAATTTATTTTACACTTTATTTTTTTCAGATGTCTTGTCAGAATATCCAGACAAAAAATCAATAATGATGTACATCATGTGCTATTTTCAACAGTTACCTCTATCCTCGATTATTATCCAAGATAAAAACAACGGAACATCAACAGAAACAGAGGTATATCAATACTGAACGAAAACAAATCATAATAACCGAAAATAAATGATAGACGAACATTAATTTGTACTTTAAAAAAAATGGGGGAATCTAGTAGTTTATCAGTAACACTTATTATTTCGATCAACAGATTTCTGTAGAGGAACCTTGATTGATGTTTAAGGTCGAAAAACTTATTTTAAAGAGACAAATTGATTGAAAGAAAAAAATTTCAAAACAGAGTACTACAAAGAGACAGATGCAAAATTTTGATGAATTATTATTTTAAAATACAATATTTTTCGAAAAACAAATAGACAAGCATATCAAAATACTCTGAATCTTGTACTGACAGTTTTTAGCTACTTTTCGCTTCTCTAAGAGTAGATAATTCTCAGATATGAAGTTGAATTGCACAAAAAATATATGTTTTTTTTTCTTCTTTATTTACAGTCGATCAGATCGTATAAAGAAACAACAATATCCAGTTCAATATCTCCCGAATTAACTTCTTATCAAATAAATATGGAAAAAATTCTCTCATGGATATTACAATTAGAAGATAAATTAGATAATAAAGAAAAAGTTGTTTTAAATGATTTGAAATTAGTTAAGGAACAATTTCAAGCCCATGAAGTATGTTAAGAAGAGAAATAAATAATAAAATAATAAAGAAAATATTTTTAAACGATAATCATACCTTTGTGTGTGTTTTTTTGAAGGATTTTATGGTTAGTCTAACAAAAGAACAAAATCAAATTGGTCAAGTATTACAAGAAGGAAATCATCTATTTAATAATGGTCAATTACAATTAAGAGAAGAAAATGAAATTAAAGAACAAATGAGAATATTAAATAAACGATGGGAATCATTGAGAAAAAAAGCACTTGATCGACAATCAACACTACATAAAACATTAATGAAACTACAAATAGATCAAATAGAATCATTTGATAAATGGTTAGCAAATGCTGAACATCGTATTCAAAATGATTTAAATATAATGGATGAAGATCTTTCGGGTATTGAAAGACAATACAAACAATTAGCATTATTACAAGATGATCTTGTTAGTCAACAACAAATAACTGAATCACTTCAAAATATGGTCATTGTTATCGATGATACATCATCTACAAATGGAACTGGTGATCAAATAAAATTTAATTCAAATGATATTGAACAAAAATTATCAAATTTAAGTGAACGATGGGCATCAATATGTAATTTTGTACAAAATCGATGGATTACATTACAAGAAGTTAAAATTGAATTAGAACAAATTTATACAGCTCAAGATAAATTAGATAAATGGTTAACAAAAAAGGAATTTGAATTAAAACAAATAAAATTAGAAACAAATGTTTTAGATACTGATGTTTTGATGAAACAAGTTAATATAATACAAGTAAATATAATAGCGTATCAAATTTTCTTTTTGTTTAATTTCTAATATTCAAAGATTGTCATTTTGTTTTGTATTTATTTCTAGAAAACAGAGTTAGAAATGGAAGATATGAAACAATTAATATTATTATTTGATAATAGTACCAAAGTATTAACTAATCACTATGATTCAACATCACCATTAATGAAAAGATTAAATGAAAAGTTGAATAATTATGAACAACAATGGACAATACTCATTAAAGATTTAGATTATGTGACAAAACGAGTACGTCGGATTAATTAATATTTTGATATATCATTTTTTTATTTTCATTTTTTGTTTGTTTTTTATTAGTTAAAATCTTCAAATATCAATTATGAAACGAGTACTTCAACTAGTGTAAAACCATCCTTTGACGTCGGATCTAATTCTCCTATAGCCGGTGATATATTAAAAAAAACGATAACAACTACAATAGAAGAAACAACAACAACCTATTCAAATGGAATCAATGGTATTAATAGTAGTTCACCTAAAAAACGTAAAATTGATACAATAATGAAAAAAGATTTTGATTCATCTACAAAAAGATATCACGATTGGATTGATAATATTGAAAATATTATTGATATGAAACATTTAGAAAATGTTAGTCCAGATGAACGACAAGAAATTATTCAAGTATTTATATTTTTATTCTACTTTTTATTAAATAATGAAATATATATATACGAATATATCTATATATTTTATTCATAGGAAGTCAAAATGAAATTTGAGTCGTATGATGAGCAATTTAAACATTTAGTTCAAAATGGTATAGAAATTACACATCAATTGAGAGAAGGTAAATATTTTTTTATGCCTGACTCTGTTTAACCATTTAATGACGTCTTATTATGAGTCTTTTTTTGAAAATGTATAAAGATCTTTATATTTGGTTTTTTCAAGTTACTATAATGAGTATTTAGAAAGCCACCAAATTCATCTCTTGATCAAAAGGATGATTTGTAGAGTAATCACAGTGGTGTAATAACGTGCGTGGAAGTACACTAAAAAGAAAAAAATAAGTCAGTTTAGAATAACCATGAAAATTGTTAATTGATACTGGAAGGATCAATGAAGTAGACTATGTTGGTGTTCTACAAGGTTCGAAAGTACTTAAGAATAACATCAACATAAGATACTTAAACATTATCTGTGGACATTTAAACATTTTATAGAATTTGTATTATATTGAAAGAATCATACTATTTATGGTTTTGAAATGTGTATAATATCTTCTTTTTTTTTTTCTTTTTCTTTAGCAAATGAAGATGCCGGTGAACATGAAAAATCTCTTCGTGACCTTGAACAGCATTGGTATAAACTACGTACATTAATTCTTTCGAATGAAAAAGATATTGAAATAAATATCTATACGAAAAAATTTAACGATGAATTAAAAATATTAGAAAAAGCTCGTGATGAATACCAATATTGGTTAGACACTACAAAAATAGAAACAAATGGAAATGATAATAGTCAAATCATAAGTGCACAAAATGAAATAAATAAAGTAAGTGTAATATACGCAAAATATATGAAAAAATGATTTCTTACGGTGATAAACAATAATATCTCTTTTATAGTATTAATTTATAAACGAAAAAAAAAATATGGTATTTTAATTAGAGTTTTTTTTCTTCTTCTTCTCTTGATTGCTTAGATATCAATTAAGACTACGTTTTGTTTACTAAAAACAAATCAAAGTAGTGATGATCGAGCAATAAATGAAAAATGACAGTTTTTGCTTTTTCAATATACGCTATCTGCTTCATTGCTTCATTAAAAATTGCTTAATAACTATGATGATCACGAGTGTTTGAATATTATCAAAATTATAAACAGATTCAAATCCTTATAATTGTAAATTGATGATATTCATGCAATTTCAATGAGTATCCACTCATATGTAGTTCTTCTGCTTTCTTTAATTGAAGAGACGGAGCTGTTGCAATTTACACCGTTCTATAGGATTTGAGATGTACATAGAAGTGACTCACTTCTTGACGGACCAGGACATTTGTGTTTTGACCAAATGAGATTTTTCAAAGTTTGTGCTTGTTCCAGCCAGATTTTTTAAAAATTTTATTTGTCCATAACGTGATTTAAACCTTCTCACGAATTAAGAAAGATTCATGTAATGATCAAAATATCCTAGTTCAGTTGGGTTACTGAAGTGACTACGTAAAAACTGACTGACATATAGACCACTTAACTGATTATATTAAAATTGTATAGCAAAAGGTAAAATATGTTGTAATGATCTTGAAACACCTATGTTTATTTGTAATCATCGGAAAATAATGGAAGTCAGTCTACTGGAACAATCTTTCTTTTTTCTACGTGAACAAAAATGAACTGAATCCTTAACCCTTTACACCCGTCGGTCCCTTCCAAGGGACGTTGATATAATAGATTTATAAAAGGAACGGATCATCAGCAAAAAAGCTAGATTATTACTAATGTAAGACAATAGAGTAGCCTAACGTTTGATTGAAAGAAGAGAGAAAAATTTTCATCTTAATCCGATATTTTTGAATTTTAAAATTGAATGAAGTTCAGAAATGAATTTTTGTTTTTAAATATTTTCTATACTTGTAGCCACTAAACCATTTTCTAATTTTGTAGTTGATAGTTTTGGTTGTATGGATGTACTTTATAATGAAATCAAAGAAATTTTTGTAGCATTCTTCTTTGCGTAAAGGCGCTATGAATTCACTGTCCCCTGGAAGGGACATTCGGGTGTAACGACATGAAAAGTGAATTTTTTTATCCTGACATCTTGTTAGCGTGGATCATTCTGTGATCACTCGCTACACATCTGAAGATGAGTGAATGAAGAAAAAAGATGTAACCAGTACTAATATGCCGTCGCCGTCAAATGTAAATGCAGTTTTCTCTGATCGATATAAAAAATCCATCTAAGTGCGTTGTGTTTAAAATACTGAATAAAATTGAGACGCGTCTAAACTACCTTCAGCTTTTTAAAAAGCAAGATGCATCCGAACATACTTTTCTCTCATTGAGGTAAGTGCCCTTAGGACCATCTTGATTTGAAAAACGCGTTCGGACACGATGTTTTGGAAAAACTAAAGAAAAATACGTCTGAACGTTTGTTTCTATCGAAAATTTTTTCAGTGAGTAAAGAATTGAAACTCATACTAGTATACTAGGGTAAAAAAGGAAGTTCGGGATAACAATGAAAAAAATACAAAATTCATGCCGTACTTCCAAGGGACATCATGTATCCACGCAGCAAAGCAACATCACTTAAGTCCAGATATAACAAGGATGTACCGAAGACCTGTAAGCTTCAATGCAGTAGTTATTTCAGCTGCAGCTATAATAAAAGTGTCTTCAGGTGTAAAGGGTTAATATAGCGACATCTAACTTACTTAGAATTATTATCGTATAATTTCTTAAAGAACATCATCTCGTTTATCAATACTTCTCTGTACAAATTTTCCAATTAGCTAATTAAAAGCAGAACTAGATATACTACTGTGTGAAATGTAAATATCATAAATTAATCATTTGAGAGTATGCTGTGATGTTAATTAGTCCAAATATAGTTAGCATTCCAGTATAATAATGAAGATGAAAATACTTTTTTAATCTGATAATGGTATGATGATGTGTAGTTATATTTAATAGTTGACAGGTGTTAGTCTTTTCTTTTGTTGTTCATTCAATCGTGCTGTGGTAAAGAAAAGAATAGAACAAATTTAAATTGATGCAAAAGCATTTTGTGTTCAGTGGATAAAGATTGATCTAGTTATATTTATGTATATGTGGTTAAACTGATATGGATACCAAAAGCTTTATGCATATTTATCACATTGATCCGTATTTATAAAACGGATAATAATCTTTACTGAACTCTATCGTACAGAATAAAAGAATAGAACAATAGTGATATTGGTGATATTGCGAAAGAAAAAGATATCCCTTGGTACTTCGTTCGTTCGTGTCTTTTTATAACAAGATATCCTTTATCTTGTAACTAACTGTTTTCTTCTACACATACTGATCTTCAAAGAGAATTTTTCTCATTTCTGTTCATTTAACAAGACAAACTATTACATCCTAAAAACATGTTAGCTCATTCGTATTGATAACACTAATTTACTATTAATACAAATGCAATTCATCATTTTAATTAAAAAAACAAAATTTTGCTTTTTCACTCCAGAAATATGATTGTTTTTTCATCTAAATAGTTGTCAATTTGTTTTTCGATAAAAACATAGTTTTCTGCAAAAATTATTAAAATGTTGCTATCAGTACTTATTATATATATAGATATCTTTTCTAACTCATCTATGGTACGCAAGAATATTTATGAAATATTGTAAACTAAAGCACCATGTCTTAAATATAAAAATTAATCATTTTATTTAGAACCTGCTGCATTTTTCCTCAGTAGAGAGCAACATTTGAACGAACGAATAGACTAAGAGAACATATTGAAAATTTGACTGCGAGCATAAAAACATGGACCATGTAATAATATTTATCTTTATCACATGTTCTATAGTGATATATTATACTGAACTGTGTAATAGACAGACGTAGCAGACTCTCACCTTGTACCGTAATACTATAGATATGAGTATTTTGTGTCAGATTGATAACAATATACGAATAATATGACGATCGTAGTAATCAGGATAAAAAAAATTAGAAAATACATTAATTGTGCCTTTTGATGGCATAAGAAAACTCTTTCTGTTAAAAAGCATATCTTATTCAGATAAGGGGAAAAAGGAAAGAAGTTAATGATCATAATATCGTAGATAATGAACTCACATATATATAAAATGATGATGATGACGAGGTAATTAACATATCATCTCGAAAAGGACCTGTGGTTCAAATCATTCCTGAAAATCATAATCTTCTTAGATGTGCAAGTATTCATTATTTAATCAAAATATTTTTCGTATAGAAATATTCTATAGTGTTGTATTAAATCCTTGAATCGCTGTCACATTCGATCTCTTCAATATCATCTGTACAATAGTCAGACATAGATCTTTTGTAAAAAAGAACTATTTGGCAGATTTTTATTCTTCTCTTGTTGGTTCGTTGGTTCGTTGGTGTATATTGTCTAAAAATGCGATGCTATAACGTTATTTTAGAAATTAAAAGAGGATAGAGTATGTTGGATGAAACATTTCTCATTTTTTTTATATGGCTCACTGAAATAAAACAAAGTCAAAATATATATTTAACAGAATTTTGTCTTCTATCATTTTTTTTTCTTCTTTATCTTTTTATCAGTAACATCACGATTTTGTCATTGCTGTTGTTCAAAGCCTACGTTAAAGAAGAAAAAAAATGTGACGATATGTTCGTCTACCATTTGTTACACAATCAGAACAATGATCATACTACATTTTCATTTTTCTTTTCTGTTGTTGTTGAATACATGGAGTAACCACAATGGATGAAGAAGTAAAAAAAACCGCAATATGACCTTTTTTTCCTATTGAAAAATAAAATTTCATGGTTGCTGTTATATGAGATCAATAATTCATAAGACTAATCTTTCAAACAGCTGTTGATGCAGACTTTTTAAAAATATATTTTCTCAAGTGTGTTTATCCATTATTTTATTATTATAAGAAATGTAGGATTAAACTCATAGCTCATCACTGAGAAAGTTCGTGAGAACCTTTTTTTGCTTGTCATCTATTAGCAGAATGATACTCTAGTGGCATTGATATCTATATTTGAGGGTGTGTGTTTATATAATTTTGATCTCTAGTCTATTTTCGGTCTTTGTGTAACTTACCGATCGAAGTCTTTTATTTTGAAATATTGAAATATACTTACATGTGTAGATTTTGTTAAATTTAAGTGGACCATAGATTTTTTTTGTGAGTTTGTATTCTGCTAGAGTAGATGTAAAAATTTCTCAGTCAACAGCGTTTTCTTTCCATAAAGAAGTCCGAAATTAAGATAGATTACTTTTTCTAAGTACAATGAAAAACCATCTCTAGTATTTTTAAACAAAAACAAAAAGTTCATTCAATTCTTTATTTCGTCCAAGAAAACTTTATCGTAAAAGTCAATCACTACGAAACAGTTTAATGTAGTTTTCTACAAAATCCATCTACATTTTGTAAACAAAATAAGAAAGCGATTTAGACTTATTTGTAAATAAATAACATTTATGGTTTTTTTTTTATTAATCAAAATCGTTTAAAAAAATGTATCTGTAAATATTCTAGTGTTTTCAAGTAAACAGTAAACATTTTTACGTAGAGTCATCAACACAAAATGAGGACATGCTTGAGAGGCTTTAAACTATTCACATTTGAATGGTTCATTTATCTGATAATGGCACTAGACCATTTATATTTTATATAGAAAAAATATGTTTCAATTTTATTGTTCAGCTATAAAACTATATGTATTATAGATGTACCAAGTGCAAATTCTCTCATCTGTATCAATTAAGAACATACGATGTTATAATAATACTATTTAGTAACTTATCTTCTTAGAAAAGTGTATATATTGCATAATTGATGAATTACTTCTTGATATAAGCTTTATTTTTTCAGCATACAAGAGGAAAAATATTCCATTAGAGTATTCTAAACTAAAACTGTCGAAAAAACAGAAAATCAATTTTGTACGAATAGACATTCGAATATATAAACTTAGCGTTGCAGTAAACTGCAAAACTAAGTCCACTGTTTTGTATCTATATTCTGTATAACGATTGAAGTTGTGCAATCAACTCGATGTTATCAGTAGTCATTTTTGTTTTTTTGATATGTTATTTTTGTTCTGTTTTTGATAAAAGAATTATTTCTTTATGTTTTTTTCGAAAGACAATATTTATTATTATTTATTGACTATCTTGTATTTAACACTATTTATAATACATATTTTTCTCTAAGAGTTACTTAGCGATGAATGTCAATGAACGAGTTTTCTCTTTCGAAATGACAAAACTAAAAATTAACAGTACAACGAAGAACTAAAACGAGTAAAAAGAGAAGAGAATGTTAATTTTTTCTTTAATAGAAATATATATTTGCATCTTATTACATAAATATAGCCGAAAAATATTATACATTATGTAAAATCTTTTTCAAAATATTATTATTCAGCTTTATGACTTACTGAGAAAAAACGAAGGTTTATTTTTTTACTGATTAGGGAATTTGAAATTATACTCCAATGAGCATGTTGCTCATCATTATTGTGCACGAAAAACGTGAAATAAACGAAAATTTAGTTTTATTTTTAAAAAAAGCAAATTTTCGTAACAAAATAAACTCATCGTTGATCAAAATCACTAATAAATTTAGGTATATGAATATTTATAAAAACAAATTTGCAAAGTCTACAAAATAATTGTATAAATACATTCTGTTGTATTTTAACTGTACGTCGCTGTTATTAGAATAAAAAAACAATATAAATGTTTTCGTCGGAAGAAAATTGTTGAGGTTTTTAATGTAATGTTTTATTGTGTTGTATAGAGAAACGGTATAAAGTATCTGAATGTATATACAGAAAGTGTAGAAAATTTTAATTCCAATATACCGCTGACAAATCTTTTACCAAAAGGTTTTCATGTTGAGAAAAAAAATGAGTTAAAAATTTTATGCATTATTTTTGTTAATAAAAATTTAAATATGATCAAGAGCAACTAAAACTTTTTACCTGGAAAGTGTATAACGATTAGAACTAATACATGTGGCACAATAGTATAGGTGAACAAAATAAATAAAGTATTTTAGAGAAATGTGTAACCACAGAACATATTGTCATCTTGTCAGGCACATTACTTTGCGGTTGTATGTGTGACTAAACACGTTGTATTTTCTTTTCGTTCTTTCTTACGTTTTACTTCTCGTTTGTTTTTCTTTTTGTCCATTTTCTCGCTGTTTTACTCTAATTTTGTCTTTCTTCTTATTTTACTTCAAAGGTAAAATTGAAAAGTATACAATCTCACGACGAAAGACTAAATAATCTACGATATATGGCCGAACATTTACAACAACTGAACGCTGGAGATACAACTTCAATACAACGAGCAAACGAATTAATAAGAGCATGGGACGATACACATTCAAAAATACGTAAGTAAACAGACTGTCGTTGATCCGTTTTTCTTTTCTTTTGAAAGGAAGTGTAAAAATATTTAAGAAATAGACATGAATTCGAGCAACATGTTAATTTATGACTACTATAGTGATATTTGTGCAAAACAGTACTGCAGTAATCCATACTGTTTATGCTAAAGTAAAACTATGCGCTAGATCATGATCAACTTTGAACTAATATGAGTGAATAATTGATGTAGTCTAAAAATACATGATATTTTTGAATAATTGCATTTATACCTGAAGAAAATAGGAGAATATTGTTAATATAGCGTATAATTAATTCATCTTCATTAGCTTAAAAATGAAAATACTTATATAATATGTGGTTTGAGTTTTGATTTGCATTTAATCCTTTTAATTTTTTATTATTTAATTTGGTTTCGGTTTTTTTTATATGAAAAGCGGCATGTCTATTCACGCTTCATTTTTGATTTGTACGTGGTGCAATGTGTGATAAGAGCAGCCATATAAAATGTAAATGGTTGTTTGATCAGCTTCATTTCGCAATATCAATGTGTGCAATTTATCGACAAATTTTTTCGGTTTGTTTAACGAGTGTTTTTACGTTAAATGTCTCAAGTTTTGTTTATTTTGACTAGAATAGTTAGCCAACAACGATTTTTTCTAAGGGTTTAGCAACGAATGATTCTTAAATAATTTTTTGCTCATCTAACAATTCAATCTAAAAATTCTGATTAATTCTATTCATTCAATAATGAAAATAGTGCTGTTGTCTTTTATTCGTTTATGAAGGTTTTCATCATTTATCAATGCACTAAGTTATTGTAGAAGTAACTTTAAAATTGCAATTTTAATAAGACTAAAAAAGTTTTTGACAAGTTTATAAAAGACTAAATTTACTGTTGTACTCAAACAGAAAAAGATTTAATAGTGAATTATTAATATTTGGAAGATGTTTTGCCTTACATAACTAACATATAATTTCCATAATAAATAAATAAAAGTATGCGATGCATTAGTACCGTAATATTCCAGTTTTCTTTCTTTTTTCTCCTATATCTATCTTCCACCGTTCACTAAAGATGATGAAGGAACCGTGTCAAAGAATTAGATGACCATTTTATAGTCAGGTTATCACACAAAAAAAACAAAATATACACACGCAATGATATGTTCACAAATCATTACATTTGTGAACTAATAGAATAAAAGTAGAAAAGGAACACTATCAACGTGAACTTTTTTATGTATTAGTTCATTTGGTCTTGTTTTGTGTATGATGAACGAGAAAAAGAGCATCTCTATATACTCTCGTCAACCTCATGATCGGAATTATCAAAAAAAAAAGGAAGGAGAGAAGTATTATTCTACAGGACAAACGCACATACTATGACTAGTCTTTAATTATTTGATGTCTTTTTCTCTATCGTTCTTTGATTTTCATCACAAATAAAAATCTTTTTTTCTATCACCACTAACATCATCTCATCTGTTGCACTCTATGTCAAACGCATTTTTTCCGTCGTAGTAGCCATGTATGGTAAGAAAACAAAAAGTTTATTTTACCCAAAGAAATATAAGACAAGGAAACTAACGAGAACTAGAAAAATAGGGTTAACAAATGTATTATTTGATTGATGATGGATATAGGTTATATTTCATATTGGGCGAACATTTCTCCTTATTTTACTCAAAAAGTTGCACGAAAGATAATTCTTTTTGTCACTAACACGTGTGTACAAAAAAAATAGATAATCGTGTAGGTGTTATCATTCTTGTCGTTGTTATATGATTATTAGGAGAAAAATCGTTGACATAATCGAATATAGAGGTTTAGAGAAAGGAAAAGAAGAGAAAAAACTGTTGATGCATTTGTACATATCTTTATTATAACTTTAATTTGTCTGAATAGTTTAATTTAACAGTTTTCGTTTTTTCTGGTAATAGTCCTCTGGTAAAGATATACTAATTACATAATTTATGATAGTATAACCCGCTCTATAACTACTTTAAAGAATATTTTGTGTCCTCTCTTGCACTATATCATTCCGAGCTAAACTAGTCTTAGGTTTAAAATATAAAACTTTTAAATTTAAAGTTCATTACCCTTTTTTCCATGAAAGCCTATCGTTTCTCTTTCTTTATTTTCTTTTTCGATTTATCCTTAAAAAGGCGAACGAAATATCCATATTGAACGTACTTATGATCAACGAGATATGGATCGTCCAAAACCTCGAGATGATAATTCAGCTGCAATTAATATAAACATTCAACCACAACAATCTACTATGACAACACAAACGACTAAACTTTCGCCAACCGGATTTACTGGTACGGGTGTTAATACATCGTTTTCTAGTACGAGTTCGTCTACAACTCATCATCAACATTATCCATCATCAACATATGATGTACATCACAGACGAGAAGTGGATAATTCTTTAATAACGAGTCCAAATAGAACTGATAATCATTCACAACAATCAACACTTGGTCAATCAATCGGTGAAAATGGAAGTGTATTCACATTAACAAATATTTATACATTTGCCGATAATTCAAATAATTCATCTAGTTTAAATGATATTAATAATCGTGGTGGCGATGGTCTTTATTCACGAACGTTTGATCAAACACATAGAAATATGGGTCCAAATTCGGATAAATATACAATCAAATCGATTGTCGAAGTGTTCGATAAACCCGAACAAGAAACAGAAATTGATAAACTCATTAGAGAAACCCATACATCTTCTGAACATCGTTTAACACGTAAAACTCGTACAAGTGGAAGTGATACAACTGATTTTGGAGGATCATCTCGCTATTATCATGGTCAATCAACCTCAATAACTCCTACATCACAATCCAAATATTCAGGTATATTAATTCTGTTCATTTTTAATCTTTTCTAGTAGTATAACATCTATGATTGATTTTAAAAAAAAAATTCTAGTTAAAGAAGCTGCTGTTAATATAATTTAACTATCTGCATGTTTAACAGTATTTTAATCAATATTTAGCTTGCTTTTGTTCATTTTTTTTATTTGAATGCACTACCTGCTTATGTGTGCGTGTATATGTGTGGCTTATTCAAATATTTATTGAACTTTGATCTTACATAATTGGTATAGTTTAATCTATACGTATTTATTCAAAAACATGCATGTTGTGATTAAAACACTTCAAGCAAAACATTATTATTCAGAAAACTAAAACCGTTTTTGATTAATAAGAGTAAAATGATACATTTCTCTTCTAAATATGGTTGAAATAAATCTATGTGTATTAGCTTGAATACTAACCTTAATCCTACACATTGGTAATATTAAATATAATTTCTGATCTAAGATAAACGAGTTAAAATTGCTCTAGAGAAAATGGAGAAACTCTTTCAGACAATTATGGAAAAAAGGTTATAATAACACTGCTTTATATTTATTGACAACCTTTTTATAAGATCATTGGCACGTCATTTCTAAATAACATGCTTTATCAAAACAAACAAATATTTTTTTACCTTATATACCGATTTATTTATTATTAATTGTAATATGTTTTCGTTTCACAATATCACGACATATATTTGATGATTTATAAAAAAAATTCTATTGAAAAATTCTATAAATAAATAGAATATAAAAAGAAAACGTCGGACATTTAACATTTGAGAAAACTTTAGATAAAGATTAGAATATACATAGGATAAAAATTAAGAAGATATGATCTTTCTTTTATTAAAAAAAAAAGAATTTTTATTTGTTTACTCTACTGAAAACCTAAACAATCAATAGATAAATTTAATTTCAAATTATTTTGTTCTGCTAGTAAAACTATGCTACATGTGTTGTATCGTTTGCATTACACGAAAGACGACATGTTTAACCCTTTACCTACCAAGAGGATCATTCATGACCCATTCTAGAATTTTAACTAAAAGGTAATGAAGCACCAAAAAAGTGATGAAAAACAAAATCTTCTTTTCTCAATCAATAACTTATGAATTTATTTTGCTCTCAAAAGCAATTCATGTTGTATCACATGCTTCATTATCTTTTTATAACAATTCTATGAATTGATGATGGGTGATCTCTTGGTAGGTAAAGGTTTAACTGAGTAGTATTAAAGTTTTCTCGTCGAGTAATAAGTCATTTTTAGCTTTCATGTAGACAAACATTTTTCTTATTTTACTAGACGTTTAAAAAATATCATTGTTTATTAAAAACTAATACGCATGCATCTTTCTTTAAATTATGATCGAGAGATTCAATTGATCGAATTCACACAGAGAAAATTGTTAAAATATGAAGTAACAGAATTGTAAAATATTATACTATATTTCTTATTTTAATAATGTTTAAAACTATTGTTTGTAAAACTACAAAGTAAAGGTTAGTCATCATATCTAGTTGCATAAAAATATAGGATATAAATCTATTTCACATGTTCTTCTCTATTTTAAATATTATCTAAAAATTTTCCTATTTTATTTATATTTGTTTTTTTCTTATCTACTTTAGAAAATCGTCTTGTAGATCTTAGTGAGACACAATTACCGCATTCATTTATTGAACAACAAAAAAAAATTCGTGAGTGGCTTGAACATGTTGAACAACCATTACTTACAGATAAAATTCAAAAATGTGATATTCAATCAATTGAACAGAAAAAAAAAATTTATAAAGTAATTACCTTTTATTTCATCATAATTAACATAAATTCATACGATATTAAAATGAAAAAAAACAAACAAAAAAAAAAAAAATGTTTTTTTTTTTCTCTACATTTTAGGATTTACTTGATCAAACATTTGAACAAGAAAGAACAATGGAATATTTAAACAGTGTTGCTAATGAATATTTTGGAAAATTAACACATGATATTAGTCGAGGATTACAGATAGAATTAGAAAATTTTCAAGATAGACTCTATGATGTTAAAATGTTTCTTAGTGAAAGATTGACAAAATATAATAGATTACATAAAACGTTAAGCGATTTTGAGGTAAGATGTATGTATGTGTATGTGCAACAGTGAGAGAGAGAGAGAGAAGAAACATCTCATAAAACAAATTACATTTTGGTTTTATTGACCTCAGAGAACAAAAAGAAACACAAACATAACAGAAATCGAGTTTTGAAAAAGTGCACTGTAGAAAGTAATTGACACTTGTTGTTGAGAAATAAAAATACACACACACTCTCGAACAATAATATCAAAGAATAGAAAAGAGTGACAATAAAAAATAAAACTTATAAAAAAAAAAAAAAAGAAGAATTGTACATTCATTCTGCGGTAAATAGTGATGTACTCTTGTCACAGAAGAGAGGTAGTTTTTCTGTTAATAAAATTCTAACTCATATTCATTCATCGAAAACTGAAGTTTGCATATCATTACTTTTTTTTTGTCTTCTTTAGCGTGGAGTTGAAGATGTTAAAAATTGGATTCGTACTGCTCAACCGCGTTTGGCAATGGAAGATGCGACGACAATGGGTGATTCTCGTCTTTTAGAAAATCAACTTAATCGAAGTCAGGTATGAAATAATTCCATTTTCGAATTGTAGAAATTCAATAGCAAGAAATATTTTTATTTTATTATTTTTTTTTTGTATGTGTTTTCAATTAGATTTTACAACATGAAATACGTGAAATGCAAACAACGCTTAATAAATTGAATAAAGATGTTGTTGAATTAACTCAAGATGCTGATGAAAGTTTTGCTCGACGTTTACGTGATGAAATGAAAGATTTAAATGTTAGTTGGAGTCATATTATAAGTTCAACAAAAATACAATCACAAAATATTCAAGTATTTATATATTTTTTGTGAATTTTATTATCTATTGATAATTGTTATATTTATTTATTTTATATTTTTTTTTTTAAAATTTTTTTATTTGAATAGGATGCATTAAAACGAAATAAAGAAATTCATGAATCAATACAAGAAATGGAAGATTGGATTATTGATAAAGATCGTGAAGCACCAGCTGATGATGGTCCAATATTTTATCAAGATCAAATACGTGAAAGAGTTGAACAATATCAAGTATGTATAGAATAATTAAATTCTAATTTGATTCTATTTTGTTTTTATTTTGTTTGATTATTTCTATTTTTTTTTAGAAAATACAAACAGAATTAAGTTTTAGAGAAAATGAAGTAAGACGATTAATTGAACAAGGACGTATATCATCAAGTACAATGACAAGTGGAATACCAGATTTAGCACAAAGTTTAGAAAATCTTGTATCAGATTGGACAAATTTACAGAAAAAAGTTGATTCAAAAGTTCAATATTATTCAGAAATCTATACATTACATGAAGAACTGAAGAGTATATCTTTTAAAAAAAATTATATTTTAAAATAATACATCTATGATGTTATTTTAGGCTTATTAAATCAAGAGACAACGTGGCTTGATACTCTACAAGATAAAATTTTAACATCTGTAAATGGTGGAGCTGATGCTGAAGAAATATCAGAAGAATTAGATGTAAGAATAAATTTATTATTTATTATTCTTTCAATATATTTTCTTTTGTTTTCTTTTCTTTTAGACATTAGAACGTTTTGTTAAAATTCATAAGAAAACAAATTATGAGAAAATACTTGAAATTTATGATCGTTTACAAGCAACAAAAGTATCAATACCAGCAACAGGTAGTCAATTAAATCAATTTAAAATACGTTGGGCACAATTACATGAAGATGTAAGATAATTTAGTATTTTTAATAGAAAATATTAAAATTAAATATTCATGTTCTTTTCTTTTTTCTAGGCCTACAAAAAAATTCATAGTTTAAATCAAGCAATAACGGATTATCAACATATGGGACATCAAATAACAGCAATGCGTGAATGGTTACGACATACAGATGGAACAATAAATTCAAGATTAAAAGATGATGTATTTGCTGATGATGTTCCAGGCGAGGCTGAGGTTAGTCATCATATCGATAATAAATAAAATACATATATTTGGTCATTGTTTCTTTTTTTATCTTAGAAATTGATTCAAGAATTTAATCAATACGAAGCATTATTAAGAAGCATTGAAGACAAAGTTCATGCATTAAGAAGTTCAGGAAAAGGCGAAGCTGCTAGACGTCTTGATCAACAATTAGAATTTTTAAGGGTACATATTTATCATTTTTTTCGAATATATCACTAAAAAGTTCAAAATATTATTTATTTCTGGTTATTTTTCACTTATAGAGTCAATTTCTTAATCTTCAAACAAAATTTCGTCATTTTCAAAAACCATCGGATTTTGAACCAAAATATGCTAATATGAGACAAATATTACAAGATGTTGAGCAAAATATGCATGTACTTGATATAAGAACAGATGATCCAGATGTTATTCATAGTCAACTTGAACATTGTATTGTAAGTTAGTTAAAAATGAATTATCTTTTTTTATATAAATAAAACAATTTTTATTTTATATATTTATTCTATTTTAGAAATTATATAAAACATTATCGGATATTAAATCAGAAGTTGAATATGTTATTCGAACAGGACGAAGTATTGTTGAAAAACGTCAAATTGATGAGCCAAATGAATTGACAAGACAAATTGATCGTCTAAAACAAAGTTATAATGATTTAGGTGCTAGAGTATGTATATTAATATATTTTATTTTTATATAATAAATTTAATTTTTAAAAATTAAAATTTATATAGGTTTCAACATCAAAAGTTCAATTAGACAATGTTGAAAGACATATACGTAAATTTCGTAAAGAATATGCTCATATTAATGATTGGTTAATAAAAGCTGATAATGAAATTAAAAAAATTGAAAATAAACAAGTATCAAAAAATACAAAAGAAGAAATTGATTGGATTCGAGTATGTTCGTTTGTTCATTAAACATATAAATTATTATTCTTTTTTTCTTATTTTCATTTTTTAAAGGCAACAAGAAATGATATTAAAAAACTTGAAACCACTTTTGAAACATTAAAATCATTAGAACGTACAATTATCAAAGACGCTAATCGTCAACTTCCAATATTAAATGAAAAAGTAATGGATTTAAAACGACAAGTTGATTTATTGGATAGACGTTTGAAAGACAGATACGATGTTGTTGAGGTGAGTGTGTAGTTTTTCTTTATTTTCATTAAAAAAAAGTCTATTATAATAGAAGAAAAAAAAAAAAAATTGTACATTTATTTTCTAAACGTCGAATTTTCTTGTGTGTAAACACAGTGTACATGAGAATTATTAACGACGTCTAGATCTATTAAGATAAAATATAGATAATAACTAAAATACTAGGACATTCTAAAATATATATAAAATCATAATTGAAAATAAGAAAATCTATTCTGAGAGAGACGCATGTATATCAATGTTTGCCGTTTTTGTTAAGTTAAAGAGTATATCTCTTTTTTGTAAATCAGCACCAACACATATTATTTATAATATATACAGCTTATTATATGTGTGTATGTGGTTTTTATTTTCTAACTAGATAGATAGATCATCTGTTATTATACTATATGTTCACACACGTTAGTAATAGATTGTATTAAGTGAATATCTAATAAGAGAAAATTTATTATTTCTGATTATTTACTATGGCGATGAAACCTCTAAAAACCACAATCAATCGTTGTTATTTTTTCTTATCATTGAAATATATTCCTTGTAGTACTAGATATTATGGTCGATCAAAAAATATTTTATGAGGATGTTGGTTTCTTTGGTGTTTTTCTAATATAAAGAATTATGTAAATGTTTTATTTATTTTTTCTCTATTGGTTGAAAACAAGTGTACATTGTTATTAGACTATTACTATGACTAAATTATCGATGAATATAATGTATTTAGTTTGACATCTTTCATCCTATCTCACGAGCATATCGTTAGAATAGAGAATAAATAAATGGAAATGAATCGTTAAACTATAATACAAATAGATAAGTCCAATTGATCGTTCAATTAAGATCAGTTTTGTGTATATATGGAAATATAAAATGTATGTTGTCGATGCATTTATCACACCATTTACTATTAGAAAAAATTGAACATCACCTCAAGAGTGTGATATAACCAGAAAAATATTAATATTGAAAAAAGTTAATACTCAAGATCTAAATGGATGGATCTCCATAATTGACTTTTAGCTCATTGTAAATATATTTAACCAAGAAAATTGAAAATTTGCAAAACTTATAAAGTATTCAGAACTGTTCATTCATTTTTGTACACTATGTGCTTATAGTTGCAAGAAATGTCTGAAGTTGTAGAAAACAACAACAACACGTACACCAATATTGGGATGAGTTATCCTTTTTTCTCTCTTCTATACAAAATTCAGTATCTACACGTAATAATCTAACTAATATCTATGTATCTTCTTCTACTATATATATATATATATATATTTTCTGTGTACCTCCAAAATAACAAAAAAGAAAATCGATACCACGCATAAGTTTAAGAACGTTAAATGCAATAGCCATTGATAATCAGTCATTATGATTTTTTTTTTTGAAACACATCGGCACATACATAGTTGAGATAGAGAAAGAAAAAGTTGGTCTTGTATCACGCAACAAAAATTGTACATTTATCCCGCAAAGAAGAAAAAATAAGTTTATCAGATATTATTAATGTGAGATGTGTCACTCAATGCATCTTCGTTTCTATTATCTAAACAGAGTTAACGTATTTCCTGTTCGTTTCTTCATCTACAATTATTTTTATCTCTCTCTTTCTCTCTTCCTCCCTCTCTCTCTCTCTTCTTTTAATATCCATTAATGCCATAACAGTTCTTGAAGAAAAAACCACACGCCGTTATAGAATATTTATGATCTAATTTTTTTGTTTGTTAGTGTTATTATAAACTCGTGGAACCATCGCCACAAAAATATGAAAAAGTGTTGTATAACCTTCATATTAATATTACTGATGTTTGCAATATGATTGTAACGTGAGTGATAGCTACTCACCCTGTTTCTTCAATCGCCAGCTCAATATGTGATTTTACCTCTCTAATTATCATATTTTACTTCCTACATTACGACATTAGTTGTCATTGTTCTGCTTTTTTTCTATTCCAACAAACTTTTTTTTCCGCTGCTTACAGATACACGGACAGTCTTATAATCATTAATCATATATATCGTCTGATCCCATTGTTATCCCAACTAACAAAAACAACGTACGCTTCTCTTTAGAAATAAAAGACATATAATAATAATAATAATAATTATATCTTGATAGACAGTATTTTTTTTATTTAAAAGATCATTGCTGCCTGACGAGTTACCCTAGTATAAATGATCTTTTCTTAACTGATCTTTTCGAGTAGTAGACAACTAGGATAACTTCACATTTTGTGAAAAAAATCGTCAATCTTCGCATCTGTTTCTTTCTTTTTCTCACCTGATTGATTATCTGAACTGTGAAAAGGGTACATTTAGGCAAGTGACCACCAGAAATTTTTCTTTCTGTCTTTTCATTTCTTTTCGAAGCGTTCACGTTAAATACGACTAGATATCATATTATTCGATGTACATTTTTAATAAATAATGTATGACTCGTAGCTGTTGAAGGGATGATTATAGTTGAACTTGAATTTTTGGTGATGGGACTCAATAGTTAACCTATTATAGAATTAGCGTAAGATAAAAACGCTATTTCTGATAAGAAACGTATACTGGTACGCGTGTTCTACTTTATACCGTATGTGGTAGACAATTCAAAACTGTTTCTTTAGTGGTCACTGTGTTTTGTCTATTTATCAAATCATTTTCAATATTTACTTTACAAACCTTTATTTCCTTTATTTTACAAACCTTATTTTCCTATATTATGGCTTAACTACAAACACATTTCGTTGTACTTTTTTTTGTACATAAATCTACGTAAGTTTACTTTTTCTTTTTTGTCGATTGATGATGATATTCTTACTATTGCTTTTCGATTATTGACAACGTACTGAGCCAACAGTCACACCAATAACACCAGTTCTAGTCCTATTTTTGTATACTGAAATTTTTAAGTCTTCTTTTTCTCATCAGTATTGAGAGAAAGAGAGAGAGAAAGAAGAAAATGCAACAATAAAGTGTAAACTATCCACCTATTGTGTTCTTGTTTTCTTATATTGTGTATAGAGGAAAAACCTATAAACTGCTACTACTCGTACTACATCTATTGCTGCTATTATTGATAGTAATAACATCACCATCAACAACAAACACCCAACAACTCATTATTAATATTCTTATTACTCTTATCAACGTCATTTATTTTTCATCTTCTCTGTTCGATAATATTGTTTTCATAATCAAAAATAATCACTCTTATTTATTTGGTTTTTTCTCTCAATTACTATTCGAAGAAAAGAAAACCTACTAAGACAAGGAAATGCTCGATTTTTATTGTGAATATTCTTTTTCGAAAATCGATATGTAGTAGACATCAATAAAATAGGTGACAGTATGTAACGAACCATTTATTATTATTGTTTGTTTAAAAAAATGATTATAAATAAATATTTAAGTAATCGTTATGATCGTTATAATAATCGTTATAATGACCGTTATAATGATCCTAGACGATATCATAACTTATTATATATTCCATTTGAATCGGGATATGAATCCTCTGGTTCATCATCAACACTTTATCCAATTGAATACATTATTTATCCAATAGGTTTCAAAAAGGTGAGCAGTAAAGAACAACAAAACAACAACAACAACAATTTTCTTCGAGTGTTTGGTTTTCCTATTAGTATATACGTCAGTCAGTTCTGAAAGATGTTAGACTAAATTATTTTGATTACGCTCAAAATAGTATTTTAGATAGTATTTCACGTTTGTTTTTATAAATTTTTGTACATTAATATATCATTGCAATCTTCAATACAATTGTACTTCTAGTTATCGATATACAATGAATTTTCTAAATTATTGATCATTAAGTACATAAATCTCGTTCAATTATATGAGTTTAGTTAAAGTATGAATCTGTGAATATATACCATCAGTCAATCTACTAGAAGATCTGAGTGTAAAATAGAAATCATGACTGTATAATGTTTATACTTTCTAAAATACCATATGAGAGTCTTTTTCAAAACAATAAACCATAATTGAGTTCGTCTGTTGTCATTCAATAAAATAGTGTAGTTGAATATGTTATCTATGATGCAATTTTTTTGTTCCTACATATTTTAAATAGAATACAGAAAAAAGACATTTGTCAGCTCTATTTCATTTCATGTATACTCTCCTGTCATAGGGAAGTCATTTGCACTTCATTCATCTTGATTCAAGAATATGAATTAATAATCCTAATCTTTCTATACTATACCTATAACTATAACTATATATCCATTTCTAAAACGAAAACAGACTTACACTCTCTTAGTATAAATGAGACAAGGAAAAGAAGAAAGAAAATTATTTGTAACTCAATTTATTTTGTAATATAGAGAGTTATGATTGACAAAATATTGTTATTAAATTTTCGTTTTTTTTTTCTCTGTTTTTATTAGGGTCAGGTGCGAAAACTCGAAGACGATTATCAAAGATTTATTCAAATTTATCAAGAAATAATTATTCGTCTCGAAAAACTCGAATCACTATTATCAGATGCTGAACGTGTTCTCGATCTCACCAGAATATCGGTAATAAAATAAAATATTTATATTTGTATTTAGAGTATTTCTTGGAGTTATTTTAGCAAGTGCAAGATGAATTACGTAATGTACGACCACAGTTAGATGAATTATTAGCACTTGGACAAGAACTAGTATCTAAGAGTGAAAAATATAGTAAATTAGTTGGACCTGATATTGAAAATATAACACGAAGATTTGAAGATTTACAAAGACGAATTAGACAAATTCAGGTAAGTTAAAATTTTTATTATTATAAATAGTTTATTCAAAAATAATTGAATATACGACAAAATACAGATACATTATCATCATATATATATTTCAGTTCATAAATGATAAAACAACTAATGAGCAGTTGGACGAAAGACTGAGTCAATTGGTAGGAAATCCGAAATTCTTTTTTCTTTCCCTCTCTCTCTCTCTCTCTCGCTCTGTCTCTCTGTCTCTCTTTCTCTATCTTCAGTTTCTTCTGTTTGTTTGATTTGATAATCTTTCATCTATTCTTAGCCATTAAACAAGGGTTTGCTTTGATAGTTTTAGTGATTGCAATTAATTTCTATTTCCCTTTTCGCTATTTTATTTTTATATTTTCTCCTCAAAACATGCTCAATATTTTTTTAACATTATGCTAGCGGGCTGCTTGAAATATATTGCTCGTCAATGGTATAACATATGAATGAATCAGATTAAAATTGTTTTCAAAATAAAATAATAATTTTTAAATTCAAATAATATAATTGAAGTGATGTAGAGATAGACAGTTGATGTGAACTTATTTAACACGTAACATTGATGACATTATTTTATATATTCTAAATTTATATTCAATAGGCTTTCTGGAGATCAAGTCGTTCTAGTGAGGTATTTGTACACAAGAATGAATTTCATAGATTTTCTAGATCTTATTATTTTGTAATTTTATTGCACTCACGCATACACCAAATACAATAGTTAGAATAAAAAAGCTTTTGATTTTATGTTGAACACATGTTGTTGTTTTTTTTTGAACTTCTTAACGTTTAATAGTAATCACACTTAAAACACGCTTATCCTTTAGATTAATTTTTCCCGTATGAAAATTTTAATAATGTAATTAAAATTAACTGATATACTCAAATTTAAATTTTTGATAAGTTTTTAGTGAAGACGAGTGGTGTTTCATAATGACATTCGACAAATAATTTTATCTATCATTCTTTTATTTTCTATACACAAATTTGCGATTCTTACGCGTATACAAAGACTCAACACGAAGCTTGCTGCACACAAAAAAAAATGCAATTCTTCTTTATAGGATCAACAGGAAAAACGTAGCAAAGAGCGTATAGAAAAAGAAGAATATGGTAATCGTCAACAAGAAGATAATACTACGACTAGTGGTTGGGAGCGACAAGAAAAAGATTCTACTACTCGGCATGAATACTATCAGGAAAAAATACACAATCGTCATGAACGTGAATCACGTCACCGTTCACCATCAGAATCTTCTGATATATCAGCGGCGGCAGGCGTCATTGATGAAGAATTTAAAAAGAAATATCTCCGTTGTCTTGCTTATATGAAATTAATTGAAAGATTATATGATGCAGGAGAGGATAGCGACGATTCTGATTTGCATACGACAAAAACAACAAGACGAGTATGATAAGTTCATTTGTTTCTAAATATCATCATCAATAGTAGTCTGTGTCTATATATTTATATCTGAGTGTATTTTCAATTATTGATGGCACAAAATATCTTATCTCGCAATTTTTTATAAAATCGTAACTAAGCACGATCTTCGCACAGCATGAAACTTTGAGCACAATTTCTAGGGTTATGAGTTTAATAGAGAGATGATCAATTACATGGATCATTGCTTGTATTTAGTTTCGCTTTTTTGCATGACTTATGTGTATATGTTTATGGGATGACTTTAATGTTTCGGTTTTCAAAACACTAACAAGCATGCACACTTATCTATTTTAGTTTTGTTCATAGTTCACTTTTCTACAAGAACTGTCATCATTTACTTCATCATCACTCAAAAGTTTACATGTTTTTTAGGAACGAACAATCCATGATAGACCAGAATATGAAGAAATTGAAAAGATTATACGTGAAACAGAAGAACGTGCTTATGTTATTGAGAAAACAGATGTTGATCAAGCGAGACGAATTCGTGATAAAATAAGACGCTTAAGGGTATGTGACACAAGTTTGAAATTGTTAGATGTTTTCCCTTAGAAATTAGTCGGTTATGGATTAGCACACGTAAAACATGACTAAGGAAAATCTTGGTAAAAATTTGTGAAGAACAAATGCAATTGAAAATATTTAATTTTTTACCTCCCGTGTTTTCACCTATTTCTTCTTTGCATGCTTTATAGGAACATTTGGAAAATCTTAAACAACGTCCATATCAAACTCGTACGAATGATGAAATTGTTCGATATAACACACGAGTAGAAGAACGTATTCGAACACAGGAACGAACAATTCCGCGTGAGAGGGTATGTATCCCATAATTTAACCATCTCTGTTTTCAGTTGTGCTTTCACAGTTGTAATTTATCTTCTTTATACTTTTTGCATCCATCAGCTGTACTTTCATATTCGTTTCTATCAGTTTGACCATTGCTTTAAATTTTCCATGTGGGAACATGCGTTTTAGTAAAAAAACGGACAAATGAGCATCTCGAGTATCATCGTTAGAAATATTACTTTTTTTACTACGCATTTCGTACCTAAATGCTATTTTAAAACTTTTCTCCACAGATGCTTTTATTTCACGTATTCTTCCGTTTATTGTGATACTTCCAATAAAATTATCCATAGTTTCGTTCAAAATGGCTTTCATTCAGCGTAAGACAGATTCTATGCAAAAATGTGTACGAATAAAAAGCTTATATCTCATTTCAAAAAGTCTGTTTTCTTCCGGAAAAATGTTGATGTACCGCAGACGAGGGTAGGCTTTTGCAGCGAATGCAAGTTCGAAACGGTCAGGTGACCGTAGTTTAGTATGAAGCAATATGCTAACCGTCTGATTTGCATGTGAACAGTGGCATTCATAGCTTTAAGCGAATATTCTTCTTTTTTGTTTTCAGGGTGAATTTGATTCGGATTTCATATACGATGTCGATGATACACGATCCGTAATTAGTGAGCCTGCCCCTCATTATAATACGAAATATCGAAAAACAGTTCATTCATTAGAACGTTGTAAATTGGATCAACAACAGCAATACTATTATCCTCAAGAAAGTGATTATTATCTTCAACCACTATTACGTGTAAGAAGTTTGAAAGCAATCGATCGAGCATTAAGTGCTCCATCATCCCCAATTTTACAACCGAAATATCGTTCTTATGAACGAAGCAATGTACAATTTACAAAAGACATGAGTAATAAACGTTCAGCAAACGTCGATAACTATCAATCACACATATCGAAATCTCAAAGTCTTCCATCTTCACCATATGGATTTCCATTACAACCATATTCTCCTCAATTTATACCAATAAGACAGCAACCGTTATTATATAGAGAACGAGTTATTGACAGACATATTGCCGAGCGTAGTCATTCACAAGGCGAATCATCGCGACAGGCACATGACTCGACATCAACACGTCAAGCACAACAACAACAACAACATGCTGGAAGCACATCGCATACTACAGCACGTTCAACAAGCGCAAATGCAAATTTATCCAATCGTTCAATACCCGTGCAATATGAAAATATAGCACATGGAAAAAGTGCAGGAGCTAGTGCCGCAGGTAGTGCCGGTGTAGGACGAGAAACATATCATACCTATCAAAATCGTTATTCAGGTCAGGGTGGCGCAGCGATGAATGGACAAGATGGTTATTCTTATAGAGATTATAATTATGGTCAACCAATACCGACATATTATAATGATCGTACAGCAGAAAGAACATATCAGGATCAAGGTAATCAATACCAATATCAAGCTGGTGGTGGTAGCAATAGTTATCGTCAACAATACAATGAAGGAGCAGGAGGAGGCGGACAACAATATTTTCAGCATTATCCTCAACAACCTTATCAAGATTATCCACCACCAAACCATAGACCAACAAACGATTATTATTTTGATCAACAACCAGCGCATCATCGTTCAAATCATCCTTCATATCATCATCCAACTAGAGTAGTTAATTAAATTCGATATAGAACATAAACATATTTTGTTAATGGCAATAAACAAAAAACCTATTTCTCGTAAGAACGAGAAAAAATACTCAATATGAGGAGAATTGAAAAATTACGATGCCTTATATAAAACAATCTTTTTTTTCGAATATGCATGTGAATTTCGTTTTCTTTTCTTGTTTCATTCGTTTTTATTTATCTAATTTGGATTTTAGAGCCACAGCAATGAAATGATAAAACCATAGTACTTGACATTTTTGAATAATCTGGTACTTTTCCTTCGTTTTTTTCCAACATCAATATTTAAACCACTATCAAGGATATGAATATTTACTTATAAAACTCATTATTTACAGATAAATAACAAAGCATTAGTTAACCGGATTACTTTTTAAACGTCATAACTTGTTTTGTTTTTTCTGAAATCGTTCTTTTTTTCTTGCCCGCGTGTGTGTGTGTTTGTCGATAGAGTTAAAATTTAGAGTATAGTGTTTCTTTTATATCATTGCAACTAGATTTGATTATTTGCTTATTATGCTATGACGAACTCATCCAACTTGTGTTCTAAATCACTTTCTTCGTTTACGCCTGGTTTCTTTGTTCATCTCAAGGTTTTTTTATTTTGTTTTGTTTTTTAAATAACGTGTTTTAATTCTAGATCTTTTTTGTTTATAATCTCACTTGTTTTTTTATCGAAGGATATTGCTATAATTGAGAAAAACATGTCCTCGACCAAAGACGAACCACACATATACACACACATTTAATATTGCAGCTACTGTTCGAAACCGTTTTTCTTTTTTCTGTACAAACCAAGAAACTTTTCCCATTTTTGTTTTGTTTTGTACATGTAAACGAATATTTTTTAGTACAATTTTCACAATAAAAATACAAGTATTGTTAACAAGAAAAAAAAATCTGACATTAAACAGTCAAATAAAGCTTCATTACTCATTGACAAGTATCCCGTCAAATTAGATACAACTTTTAAAACAACTTTATACATACACTTAAAATATAAAATATTCTTGTTTTTCAAATATGTAATAATTTTTATTACATCCAAAACAATGTGTATAACTATTCTAGACATATTAGACTAATTTGTTTCCTTTTTTCTACAGAAGATTTCGCTGAATGCAGCACTTTTGATTAATAAGTGGAAATTCACCCCTTGTTTGAGTCGAGTTACTTAAAAAATCTTCTGATTTATTCAGAAATTTTTTGAAAAAATTTAAGTTAAGAAACTGTCTATTACGCAGCTGACGAGGGAGCCTATAGAACTGTTAGCTCGCTTTTTCAGCCAAACCCAGTGGGTTATAGGTATTCGACCACGCTGATTCCGAATATGAACATGAGAGCTGCTTTTAGGTCTTCGAAGATCCGGTTTTCTAGAAAATCAGTTTTTCGGAAACTCTAAAAAACATTCAAAACTTTTCTTAATGACCCTCCTTGTAGCCCGCACATTTCTGATTAAAATGAGATCTCTTCCAGCTCTGCATGATCTTTCTTTGCAAAGTTATAGACTTTACAAGAAAAGTCCTAAATTAATTTCTTCTTATTTTTGTAGCTTTAAGTTGACAATGAGTATTTAGGGCTTTTCTTGTAAATTCTATAACTTTGCAAGAAAAGTTATGTAGAGCTGGGAGATGTCTCATTTTAATCAGAAATGTGCGGGCTACAATCATGGCTTATTAAGAAAGGTTTTGAATGTTTTTTAGAGTTTCTGAAAAACTAGTTTTCTAGAAAACCGGATTTTTGAAGGCCTAAGAGCAGCTCTCATGTTCATATTCGGAATCAGCGTAGTCGAATACCTATAACCCACTGGATTTGGCTGAAAAAGCGAGATAACAGTTCGACAGGTCCCCTCGTGAGTTGTCTTGTTTAAATCTTGTTTAGCGGCTCTGAATAATTCGTTTTTTTCTTAGTGTTTTCTTCATATTGTTGATGAATCTTGTTTCGAAAAAAAATATGACAAAGAAGCAAGACAAGCGCTAATGGCAACTTCATTTTCAGTTAACTCAAAAAAATGCGTTTTTCAAATAAAAAGTCTTAGCTAATTTTCACTTTCTGTCAAAACTTGTATTGAAAATCCTGGTTGAATGAACAAGATATTGCAAAACTAAATAACATATAAAAAGCTGGATGAAAAGGACAGTATTTTCAATCATCCTCGTATTTGAGTTAATTTACATTCAATAAATTGAAGAAGCGATAGAGGCCTCTATTTTTTTACCAACGTTAAAATATTTTAAATGATACATCATCGAACTGATATTTTTCGAGTCTCAGTAGTATTTTCTTGAATGGAGATTTAACAGGTAACTACACTTATATTATGTTGCTCTCGATTGACTTTAGAGTTGAATAAGAGTGATCAATCACATGTATTTACACAATTGCACTGATTACTACTTCGGTGAACAACTTGTGTTCTTAATCATGGATGATTGATTATTGATCACAACAATGTAATTTAAAAAAAAGTGAACTCTACGTTACTCCCTCCTATTTTTACAAATAATGCGATGTTATGAACTTTATCCGCAGTAAAGAACGAAAATAAATAAATATTAATTATACATGTAGTACGAAAAATGTTTTTGATCATTCCACATAGTCTAAACACATCTGTTTATCATACAAAGACATTGATCTAAGAATAAATACTTATTTCTCTCTACTCAACTAAAACAATACGCTGTAATATAATAAACACTCAAATAATTCGCCTCTTTTTTTTTTTAGTTTATTGTAATCTAAACCAAAAAGTGTAAAGAAGTAAGAAAGTTATGTTCATTAACGGTAAGAAATATTCTGATGAATAGTCGATGATGATGTAACAGCTAATAAAATATCTACTGGTAATAATACTTTCTATTCAAAAACATGTTTACTTCTTAAGTTTTTTTATTGATTCATCAACTAGTATCTTGTCTTCTTCTGAAATTGTTGACTCGACATTTAATCATTCAACAATGATGAAGATTGTTAGTATAAGACGATTTCTTTTTGACGATAGTACGTTTTTGTACAAAAACGACAACAATGACAAATGACTGGAAAATCTCCTGACGTTTTTATACTATAAGTGATAACATGAGTATGATGATAGAATAACTGATGATAGCGACGTTTGAATTTGACATTTAATGACTGATTCAAGTTATCAAACCACACTAGTGATTTATGTTTGCTAAATGCTGTCAAAACAAACAATCCGTGAACATTTATGAAACTTGATAGAAATACAAATTTTTTGAAGAGATTAACAAAGATTAATTTTTGTATATTTGAGGCTTTTATATCTCTGGCTGGCTGAACATATCGTATTTAATCTACTGATGTACAAAGAACATTCACCAGAATTATTTTTTCTATTACGTGTAGTTGAATAATCTTTAATATCACACACACACACTCACTGATCATAGAATTAGATTAGGAAATCAGATAGATCAAGCAATAATAACCCGAAACGCGAAAATGAGCTATAATGCAGAAGATGGAGAAAAATCTACAAGTGTCGATTTGGGAATTCAGAAAAATAATTTAGTTGGGAAACGCAAGAAAAAAAATCGTTTTTTTTTTTACTCTTATAGAAAACTGTTCTGTTTCTTGTACGTATTAGCTTGTTGAAGTAACCTTCTTCTTCTTCTTTTGATCCTGTCATTAACCGAGAGAGAAAAAAAAATGTATATTAGAATAGAATATAGAATAAAGAAAGAAAACAATCATTATATATATATATATATATACATATACTTTTACTCCCGCTAAACGATGAGAAACGATATTCAGTCATCGAAATATTACGTTGTTATTGTCAATACCCGTTGATATATGAAAAGACGTTAAAACATTGACCCTAAACGAACTACTGACATAAAAAAGTAGTATAACATCTGCTTATTATTGTAAAACAAAAAAAAATCAAGTCACAAAGATTGATATTCCATTGTAGAATGAGATGATATAAAATGTCCATTTTTGTCATGTAAAAACTTTGATCTCCGATTAATAAAAGGATACGATTATCAAAAACAATGTACGTAGATTTACAATCATCAATTAAGTAATTTTGAAAATACTCAACAGTAAGTAGAACATGTATATTTAGAAATCTGTATTTACGCTTTATAATACGAGTAAGTAAAGATTGATACTGCAAATGAGTGTGGTTTTCGCTAGACACGTTAGATTAGTAGAAGAGAATAATGACTTCCATTCCACAATAGCTTGTAACAACGGGAAATAGCGACATGAAGTTTTCGTAGGCTTACAAAAACAAGGAATTTAATGAGTTTTGTTTTCTTGCTATAAATAAATAATACATTCTGAAAGAAGTGCAACATCGTTTTTCTATCAACAGAGCTGTGATAAAGTGTGATCCACACACCTGCTTTTCGTCACATTATAGATTTTGTCTTCAGACTATCACACTGTAGAGTGAGTATTGTCATTATTCTGTTTTTCTTGTTTGTATACATCATAAAATCATTTTTTGTTATGTAATACGTTAAGCTCTAATTTCTTTCAAGCAGAAAATAAACTACCAATTTGTTTATACAAAAAGCTTATTATCAATCAAGAGAAAACAAATTGAAGGTCTTAATTCTGGAATTAGTATATTCTACCTCACATTAAGACTTCCATACTACTAGCAGCTTATCCAGAAATTGAAAGACTTTATTCATTGTTGATAGTAATAAACGCAAAAATAAATTTTAGTCTTAGAACTTTTATATATATATATATATATATGTATATATATATGTATGTTTCTTGTTTCTTCTATTTAGATATTTATCGTAGATATCAGATCCATTGTACACAAACTTCGATTATTTAAAAATTATAAATAACTATTCAATGGAGTTCGTCTTCATCTATCATATTTAATACCTCCAAAAATTATATTAAGTTTCAATAAGAAAACCGTTAGTGCAGTTTATGCAGTTACAACTAACGGCAATCTAAGTAATATTGAAAATTTTATTGACGATCGTTTACAAAATATAATACCGCAGATGTTGATTTCAATTCGAAACTAGTGAATATTTTCAGTTTTGATGGAAATGCCATTGTGCTGAGTTTTTTTATAACTTTCGTCAATCGTTCCTCATAAGAGAAGAATTTACCATCAAGATTTCGTATTATAAAAATATAAAAGTGAAAAAATGTTTGATTCTCACGAGTCAACTGATTTTCTTCGTTGTGTCGATAAATTGATATCATCCATTAAAACGTTGAGCAAGCATTTATTGTCGTTGGATTATGATCGTTCACATCACAACGGCTATGATATGAATGATACTAAGCAACCCACAAAATTGAAGGTTAGTTGCTCTTACTGTACTTCAAGTACTATAAAGAGATATAGCCTTAGTATATCTAGTGCTTTATCTACGTACAACGTACTATGTAGGTCAGGGGCGTACCTCAACCTTCAGGACAGGGTGGAGGAGTAAGGTAATTTTTTTGACGAACATTTTCACAATATGTATAGAAACGGATAACGATTTTTGGAGGGTGCCAGTTTTACATTTCAAAAAGTATTTTTCTGTAGGACAAACAAAAGACCTTAGAAAGCAGAATGGGGGTTACCTCTCTCTACGTGTTACGCTCATGTTCAAATATTCCTATAAATGTATCCCATTTATACACGCCTGAATAAAGATCTGACTATGTTTTTTTACCTTAGACATTACTCGACCACAATGCTCTCTTACTCGACTTGGTGGAATGAGTTTTCCTGTATGAACTTCTTAGAAAGTCCGGAAAAAAAAAATGTTTTTCATAAAATATTCTACAAAAGTAACTGAAATTCTTCTTATGATCGCATTTTTTTACCTTTCCGTGGCATATTTAGAAGGTAGAGTTTTGGTAGACTACTATCTGAGATAAAATGAATTCTATTTCACAAACTACCGGGATAGAAGAATCTAGTTGAATGATCTACATGACCTTCTAAGGTCATAATTCAAGGTTCTTCGGGATTTCACAAGGTCAAGAAACTCGTAAGATCTTGAAGGCTTAATAAAATTCTACAAAATCTTGTCTTAAGTCTGAACTTGAATCAAGAAGCCAATATAAGATTTTACAAGGAAATATCAGGTCTTTCAGGGTCACGTGACTTGTTTCTCTGGTTCTTTTCTGCTCTTCAAATCTCTCTATGTATATGAACTGTCTGACTTATCGACAAACAAAAATCCATAAAAAACAATGACTGTTAAAAGAAGTTTTGAGTGATTGTTCTACATAGGACCTGACTGGTGGCAGTACACACGCATTAATTAGTCGGTGACGAGCGACACCTGCCGATCTGCAACAGTATCGCTAAAAACACAAAACGAAATCTACTTCTATCACTAAGTATTACAGTTCTTACCGATTTAAAGTTTTTTCTGCATCAGAATAAAAGCAAAAACATATCTTAAGTACTATATCAAAATAGTACTATATAAAATAATACTTTTAAACTATATTAAGACGGAAAACCAATCTTGGTTGAAACAAGCGAGCTAAGTTTTGCATTAAAGTGCAAAACATAGTTTGTATTTCACAGTCTTTATTTTATACATCGGTTGAAGCAGTGCGATGAGTCGATTTTATGCATGCTAAATTTCTTTTTCAGTTATTTTTATGTTCTTGTTTAGTTTAGATTCTTATTTCTAGTTTGGTTATAGACAAACGGATGTTTGTCGGTTTTCGATTTTGATTTAAAATATATAGCCAATGTTTCAAAGAAACTTTGCTTGTTTTTTGTTTAGCACGTTAATATGGGATAAATATTATATTTTTTTCGTTTTTAGACAAAAGCCGTAGTTGTCATTTTAATCAAAATCACTTCTGTTGTTACATGAACTTTTTTTTCTCTCCCTTAAGAATACACATTTTTTTCAATTTCTTTTTTGCATTTCCTTTATCTGATGAAGAAAAAAAATTTTTTGTACAATGTTGCACCATCGTTTAAATTTAAAATGAATCTGTATTAGTTGTAAGAACAATCAAAATCATTTTCTTACACTACAAATAAAAATTAGTATTATATTTACGGCACAGAAATTTTTTCAGTAAAAAAAAGTCATATACACCATAACAGAGTGAAGACTATGTAGAAGTGAAGATGTTCAACGCAAAACTCTATTAAAAAGAAGAAAAAAAAGAACGTCGACGGATTAAAGGAAACTACTGAAAGAACAAATAACAGCACAATTTTATTTTGTGTGTGCGTGTGTATGTGTGTGAAAGTAAGGAAAACGAGAGAAAAAAAAAGGCGTTTTCTTTTGCCTTTCAAGAGTAAACTGAAAATAGTTTAGGTTGAACATATGTTTTTTCTTGTAGTAGAATAGCAATAACATAAAAGTTAGCAATTTAAATATGTAAATAATTTGTCAGGTGAGGAAGAGATCAAGGAAAAAAAAGATTTTCATTAGACTTTGATTTTCAGTGTTATCTTCATTCATAAGGGAGAATAGATATTTGACTTGGTTTCTTTCAGAAAACAAAGAAATTTATTGTATATCTTAATTATGTAACAAAAAAAAGAAAACTATCGGAATAGTCTAAAACAGCTCCGAACATATAAACAATTCTCCTATAATGTCGATTGACGTTGTATTTAACAAATCCATCCAATTAACAACAGAAAGAATTGTCAGATAATGAAAAAAAAAAGAAATCCTGCACAACTAGATACAGTTATCTATTAATCAACTAGTGCTATCTGTGTGTTTGAGTCTGTTAAACGTGAGATTTGCCTATCTAAAAGACAAAAAGTGATGGAGAAAAAAAAATGTCTACCATAAGTTTTCTTCTTTTTTTTTCTGATACAATAATTCTTTCGTTTAGGCAATCAAAGATGCGTTAAATACATTAAATCCCGCTGTTCAAACAGCTCTTATTCACAAAGAACAACAAGTTAAACATTTTCCGGAACAAACGAATAAAATTAATATATTAATTGAGGAACTTTGTTCAGAATATGAAAAATTACAAATAAATTATAAAAATAAATATAGGTAAGAAGAAATAAACATCATTTCTGTTTTCTCTGATCTAGTTAACCATTATCGAACTACATCTTAGTGAATTGATCAAAGAGACTAGACAATACAAAGAGTATAAATATTTTATTGAACATTTATCAAAATGGTTAACATCAACTAATGAAAATATTAATGAACTATTAAAAACAGTCAACAAAGAACGGACATCACAAATAATTCGGGTAAAAAAATAAAATTTAATAAAATAACGTAAATTAATTGTATTGAGTTTATTTGATGTATAAAATTCGATCTTTTTTTTCTAGAATCTAGATGAATTGACGAAATATAAATCGTTATTAGAACGTGCTACGTTACTTAATCGTGATATGTTATTAAGTCTACCAAATGGTGATCATGCTGATCAAATGAAAAATGAAATTGAACTCGTTAAAGAACAATGGCAATCATTAATTGACTCATTAAATATGCTTAAAGAAAAGTGAGAATAGCAGTAAAACAATACCAACTAACAATCATTTTTAGAGTTAACAATCTTTATTTTTACTAAATAGACATGCATCTCGAATTTCATCTCCTGATCCAACATCAATGTCAACATCAAAAATCAATGATGATAATGATGATTCGAGATCAAAATTATCCAATGATCATTTTAAAACTTTAGAAGATAATATTCAATGTTGGATAGCATTGACGAAACAAATTCTTAATCAAAAATGTTCAGTATTTGATGAAACATCAAGTGAAAATCTCATATATCAATTGAAAGTGAGTTAGAAAGAAAACGGAAGATAGACAAATATGTCGATAATTTTCTTTCTATCTAGGATTGTGAAAAAGAACTAAATCGATTAAAAATCCACATCATGAACTTAATGGATGATAAAAATAATGTACAAGAAAGAATCAAGTTTTTTATGGATGAATTGAATACGGTATTGTTAAGTACTCTTTCTCTATCCCATATTTTTTTCTCTTATCTATATGATTTTAAGACAAAATAAATTTATATCTGATGAATATGTTTCATTGATCTCTCTTTTTCTCTCTGTTTCTAGCTAGAAGAACAAGTCAAAACTGAACGTTTAAAATTAGAAAATCGTGTTGAACAATATCGATGTTTTTGGGATGAATTAACAAGTTTAAATGATTGGTTAATTCGGTTTAATAATAATAATAATGTTGATGCACGAGTAAGTGATTGACATGATATTTAATAGCAGCACGTGATAGAATGTATTAAATATGTGAACGTTTAGACTGTGGAATTAGCATTAACTCAACGACAACAACATTTTCAAGATGTTATTTTAGAATATAAACATTTAAAAGCAAATTATAATGATGAAAATGGTAAAATAAATATACCAGATACTTTACAAATGAAAATTGATTCAGTATTAAATATGTGGGAACAATTATCAACTAGATGTTTCAAAGACAAAGGTGAAAAAAGTAAGTGAACTAATTAAAATATAATATTATTATATATCTGGGTATAAGCATAGTAGATATTATTAAAAATAAAAATGAAAATTTTGAGTCGATGAAAACGATCGAACATGATCGTTTTTTCTTTTTTAATGAAAGAAACGCTTCGTTGGTTCTTCTGGTTTACGTAATTTATGTACGATGTTGTCATCTCTGTTCGGTTGAAAAAGATGTGAGATATATATATATATATATGTGTGTGTGTTTATTTAATTAGTATCTAAATGTCGTGAATATGTTTGTATCATCGCATTGCTTAAACATGGACATCTTTTTCTCTTTTGATAATAATATTACTATTTTGTAGAAAACTAAGTTAAATTGGACATTTCCATACACATTTAAAAAGAGATCAGAAAATATTAGCACATTGAGCTTCAAAAATCTAAAACAGTTGTGCATAGTATTTCTCTCCTATAAAGAAAGAGAGAGAGAGAGAGAGAGAGAGAGAGAGAAAAAAATAAAACCCGCAGCACTTGATTATTGATGTATCATAAGTTCATACGTGCGACATTTAAATAAAATTATTATTCGTGTTCATATAGGCAGGAAATAGAATAAGGTAAAATTTTGATTGAGATATAAATATTCAATTATTTTTTTTATGTGATCTCTGACTTATAACTATTAGAATATATCGCCGTTGTAGATCACATAAGGGTCGTCAATAACAGCGGTGTCTACTTTGTCTTTTTCTTGGTTTTATTCAAAATTAGAATGTATACTGTGTATAAAGTATCCAGTTCCACACTATTCCGTAAGTGAACATCTTAATAACGATATTTTTCCACTTTGAATCATATTCGATATTTTGAATATTTAATGTTTGCATTTGTTATGCTAGAAGAATGAATGTTTGCTTAAAATACGAGTTCATTTTTTTACTACGTTTAAAATCTCGAAATAATTTTCGTGTAAATGAATATACGTTTCCTTATTATCGTTATCAGTATTAAAGTACGCTGAAACTGAATAGTTTTTATTTTGCCTTCTTATAACGTATAATGCTCAATGAGAGAACCATTCTTAAAATAATTGCACTTCGTGTTAATTTATCCTCTTTCCTCTTTCTCTGAATAAACCAAAATTTAAAAAAAAGAAAAAGAAAAATTGATCAAATAGCAACTGTAATTAATGATTATTAGAGTCATAAATATTATAATTAAAAAACTGGAAGTTAAAACAGAGAAAAAAAAGTGCATAAAGTTTTTGTTTGTTATTATCATTATTATAACAATCGAGAGAAAGATTGCAAATGAAAGAAGTCAGTCAATTTGACGGATGAGCAAACGAGGAAGTTCTTTTTTTTGTTACTATTGTATAGATGTAATAATAATAAAACTCAACTAAAGAATAGAGGGAATATATGTAATTGAATTCGTAATTCCATTCTACACAGCGAATATGTTTACTTAAAGTTTTTCCTTTCTTTTTTTTTTCTTCCCATCCGCCAACGCGTACTCATTTTCCAAAACGTGATGATTTTGTTCTTATATTTAGAAATAACAGAGGAAGAGAACGTAGTGTCAAGGGGGGCTTTTTTCCGGTTTTTTTCTTTGCCTTTAAGAAATAATTGTAAACTAATTAGGAATAAAAACAATGACAAAAAGGGTAAATATACACCAGATAATCGTTTTTTGAATTTTATCGAGTACTATCTTAGAAGATACTTAAACCTTGTGTAATTTAAATAAAAATTTAATGACTTTTTTTCCAAACATCAATTCTCACCGATTTCTAACACTAGTAATCTTCTTATGCACTAGTAATTTTTTTAATTGAAAAAATGTCACTACTCATACCTTGAACAGTATGAACGATAAAAATTATTTTTAGCACTGAATTATAGTTCTTTTTATCATGATAAAGTTTATAAAACATCTGTCTATATATGTATATTTGTCTAGAACCGTTTGTACAAAAAATAGAACAAATGAAACGAGATTTATATGGTTGTCCGTGACATGAAATAAAACAGAACAGCTGCTGTATAGACCCTAGTATAATAATGATTGCGCGTGTTTATAATGAAGAAATAAATAATAAAAACTATTTTTTTTTCTTATGTCATAAATAGCTCTTCTCTTTCTCTCTCTCTCTCTGTTTCTGTGTTAATAGAGTAGATGTCATTTAAAAAAAAGGCATTTGTCTTCTTCTTAGATTCTGCCTTTTTATTTCCTATTATAATTAGATTGAATATCATAGGAATTTATTATTATTACTTTTCATTTGTCTATGCTTAGTCTTGAACAGCTCAATCGTGTCGTACAGCGCGATCATAATTATAATTATTGAATAACATAAAAAGTATGTGTATATATATATATCTATATATATAAAAGAGGATAAGAATAATAATATCTCTTTTTTTTGTTGTCAGAAATTTGGAGTTATATACCTATAGGTAAAAAGAAAGAATAAGAAAGAAAAACATATTGTGTAGTGGTGGGGGTTGAGATAGACGGGTCGATGATCTTCCTATTCTTGGTCTATTGTGTGTGTGTGTGCGTGCGTCTATCATTCGTACTTCCGTAATTTCTTTCTTTTTTTTTTTTTAAAAAAAAAGCAAGAATTTTGTTTTCATAATTTATTCCCTATGGTACGCTTGTTGTTTCTGATTGTACATACTTAAAATAGAAACCACGTAAGCACCGGCCAATATTCAAAGTAAGAAAATTAAGATTTTATTCGAATAAATTTTCTATAGAGTTAGGTTTGACATAAACAAATAGTTTAATTGTTTTATGTTTAAAAGTGTTCATTCTCGAGTTAGGAAGAGAGAGTATACATTGATGAGTACTCAAAAATTTTTTCTACTCTTTTAGTAAAAATAGTATGTCTCGATAGAAATATATTTATATTCTATAAAATTGATCTTAAATTGAAGGTAAAAATAAACTAGTCATTTTATTTTTTTGTAAAAAAAAGAAGCTTACCTATACCGCGATATTAGAGCACAGATTTGTGCAAAAATTATGGAAAATTTCTCGAAACTTCTTTAGATTTCTGAGAGACTCTTCATCAAACAAATTAAATGAGATGTTTCTTGGACATTTTGGAGTAAAAACAATTCGGGTCATTAAAAAATATACGCCATTTTAAGCAAAAAATTTCTTGTTCCATGCCTCTCTTAAAAATATTTTCATTATAGTCGGTGATGAACAACAACTATCGTCGACTTTACTTGCGAATGATAGTGAATTTAATCAATTATTAACAGAAGGTGAATTATTATTAGAAAAAAATGTTTACATTTTGGATAAAAACGACATTCTTCTTCTTAAAACAAGTATAGATGTAAGTTGATATGTGTACATATATTTTTATTTTTAAGAATTTGACCTCTATTTTAGAATTACCTTAATGAATTTGAAAAGAAATATGAAGCACTTTCTGGAATGTTACATGTGATCTGTTCATCGCCTAAAGAACAACAATCGATTGGATTTACATCGAAAGGTATTGTCTCAACGGAATTCTTTTATGTTATTGTTTTTCCTATATATTTCCATGATGCATAAAAACGGATTAATTTGATTAAGCCGTTTTACATTAATCATCAGACTTTCAACAAAAAAAAATATAATAAGTTAGTTTTAATAGTGCAGATAATATATAATTCAAAATGGTTGCTTTTTAAAACGTTCTTTCTACTCTTCGGTACATTTTTGAAAACAAAGAAAAAAACCAAAAAAGGTTTATAGAGTCAAAAAGCTTTTTTTTATTCAATTATATCTAACTATAATAGTTCGCTTTTTATATTGTTTATCACATTACAGCATTCCATTTTTTTCGTAACCTTTTATTTAGCTATCGACTCTTATTTCGTTTAACACTGTTTTATATCTTTTCTATAGCTTTCAACACCGAAACTTCAAGTAATACAATTAGAAATGCACTTCTTCAACGTCAAAGAACCTTATCAGAAATGTTAATTGATACAGATTCAATAGAAAAATTACGAGTTAATTTTGTGGCACATTTTAGTGATAATGAAAACTACTTTGATGATAAATTAATACCGGTGAACGATAAAACAGAAGCGCATGATGCTCTAATAGAAAAATGTCATCAAACGCTCAAGAAATATGAGCATACACAAGATAAAACAAATAAAATTCATACATTGATTGAGTGGGTTGAGAAAAAACAAGAAGAAGAAAAACTTAAGAGTTCCAACACCAATAATCCGTAAGATATTATTTCATTAATTATCAAAACATATATTTCCTAATGATTTCGTTTAATTTATAGTGATTTATCTGAAAATACTGAATTAGAAAATATTAAAGCACCCATTGCTACTCTAGACCTTTCAAAAAGTTTAGATGATTTTGCAGACTACATACAAGAAATTGAAGCCAATGTTGCTACATTGAAACGTGAAGCAATGAGAGCAACGCATGACCCATCTACTGAACAAACATATCAGACTGTATTAAAACAGATTAATGAACCACCTCAAATAAGTAGTTATTCTCAGCAATTAGAACAACGTGCTAATGAGTTACATCAAAGATGGAACCAGATTCAAGTAGAAATGAAGGAGTTAAAGTAAGCGGTTGGTTTAACGTAAAACATTGTTAAAAAAAATTGATGCTATATATTTTATCTTTTATACTTTAGCGATAGTACTTGAAAGCTACTTTGTTTTTGTTTCAGATTGTTGATTACGGATCCCAAAAGTGTAAATGATTTAATTGAAAACGTCGATAGTTTAGTTAAAAATCTTCGTGAAAAGGAAGAACAAATCCGAATAAATAATAATCAGATAATAGACGACTATACTCAAATACCAAATTTTATTAATGACTGCAAAGTTAATATAGACTTTTTCTCGTAACAATAGCTTCTTTACAAATGAAACCTTTAAACTTTGTAGCGAATTATCACCGAACTCGAACAACAACGCTCCGTTGTGGAAAGAATAATCAATACAGGAAAACAAATGTATCAAGATAAAGATGTTAGTAGCGGTACAGAAAGCGCAGGTAAATTAAAATCTATTATCATAAATCTTACCCTAGTAAATAATGCATATAGCTCTTTTTCGAAGCAGAAACACTCCTTATAACTGTGTTCAGATGTCTGATTAATTAATTACACGCGTGTATTATCGGCCTCTGTGCTGAATTGAACAATGAAGTTAGTCAACTTGAAGAGAGCAGTTCTCATAAAACTATGAAAATATATTAAAAAATACAGTAATATAGTAGTAAACTATCTGTCATATTCAGAGTACTACTGGGTAACTTATTAAAGGTTAATATCCTCTTTTCCATTGGTCCTCTTTTTATTCAATCAGAAGAGGTCTATTCGTTTTATGTTTTTCTTCTCGTTGTTTCCTTTCAGCTCCTAACAGTAGCCCCAGGGAGAGACTATTTCCGTCAATTCGTATTCATCCTGGCTTCTTGAAAGTACGATCTGAAACTAAAAGGAAGCAGCTATTTTTCGTTTTTCAAATGTTAAGTTAGGCGTTAGCTCATGTCCAATTTTTTCATATAGCATACGTTAATCGTGGAGTACTATATGTAAAAATGTCTGAACGCTGTCATTTATGGACAAACTATCAGAAAGTGGATCTATCCCTGCTTGAGGGAGTGAAAGACTTTTTGCCACTAACGGCCATTATCGAATTCTGAAAAAAGCTTATGTTAAAATACTCTTTGTTTAGACGGTTTATCGGAATATTGTAGGTGTCCCTAAGATATTTTTACTGTCAAATTTGATAACAGATTTTTTCTACTCGTATAATATGATCTAAATCGCATCTGACATTTTGTATGAACTGAATTTGGAAGACTTTTTACGAAGAATCTTAACTCTGAACTTATGTAAACACTTTGATTGATTTCTATGGAAAAAATAGCTTAAGGATTTAACCAACAACAGAGATAGAGGTGCATTAATTGAGTGATAAAAAACGTAACGGTACTGTGATTGAGTGGTTGTTTACTTAAATGTGCGTACCAGTTGAGAAATGTGATAACATTCCAGGCCAATAGCAAGGATTTTTGTGAAGGGAGTGACCGATAGTTTTTTGCTTTTAGAGATAGTGTGAAAGTTTTTTCTGATTGAGTGTAGAAATGTTGTACAAAAAATTCATATAATATTAGAGAAAAAGAAATATCTTTTTTTTCTACCGTCAGGAAAACCCTTTGTCCGACGTCACTCATACACAGTTTTAGTTTGATTTCCATAGTATTGTGAGCTGACTCTACTCCACCTTCGGGACCGAGTAAAGGAAGTATGGAAACACAAGAAGTTTGACGTGATTTAGCGAGAAAAAAATCATTTCAAAAGTTCAACGGGGTACGGTCCCCCAATCCTCCCTTTGGTTACGGCTCTGGAAACATCCCTATGTTTTTGTTGGACAGTTATGATCTTTCTAACGCGTTACTATCTCAGTTTTCAAATACATGGTGCTTATGCTGACTGTATTAAATCACTAGCGTTTGTTCAAAGGTGAAAGTAACTTTTTTTAATACAAATTTAAATATTCATATACAACGGATTCTTCATTGACTTGAATATGCAAAAATCTCTTATTGAACTTTTAGACGATACTTATGTAGTGAAAAAACATTCTGATTTAACTTTACGAAAAGTTCGTCGTAATGTTGTACAACTTAGTCAACGATGGAAAAATGCAAATTCACAAATTAAAGATCGTTTAAAGCATCTACAACGTGCGCAAACGGTGAGAAACAAAATAAGTTCAATATAGATCATACAAATAATCGTTGCGTATACTTTAGAATATTGATGGCTTATTTCGGAAGTGTGATTATTTGAACAATCAACTGAATACTTATGATCTGCAAAAACTTCAACAGCCGGAAGTACGTTCATTAACTGCAGAGCTTACTCCTCTTGAAATTGAACAATCAAAGGTAAAATTCTTTCATTGAGGTCGTTAATAAACAACAATCACTGTATTTTTATTTTTCAGCTTCTTCTAGCAAATTTAATGTCATGTAAAGCCGATATTGATACTGTTAATCAAATAGTAAGAAATATTGACTCTGATTACAATATATCTCCTTCTGTACAACAAACAGGCCGTATACAAGACATAAACAATCGGTAAACTAGATTTGATTCTTCTAATAATTATTCTTTATCATCTTTTTTTTGTATCAGATGGAACTATTTGATCTCTTCTGTAACTCAACGTGTTCAACTTTTGCAAGATTCATTACGTTACTCTTCTGAATCAGACAGAGAATCATCAGCTTATTCTCACTCCGTCGAACCGCCTTGGCAAAGGTCAACAGCGTCAAACAAAGTTCCTTACTATATCAAGTAAGATTGTAGTAACTGTTTCATTTGCTTTTTTTGTTCTATAAAGAAAAATTATTTCACTTCTGTGTAATAATTATGTCGTTTATTTAAGTCATTCCGATCGATCAACTTCTTGGGATCATCCAAAAATGCTCGATTTAATGCGTTCATTTTCTAATTTGAATGACATCAAGTTTTCCGCTTATCGAACTGCGATGAAGTTACGCACATTACAAAAACGATTATGCCGTGAGTTTTCAGCTCTTATTTTATAAATACTAGATTTTTCTTTTATTGTTTATTATGTTTCCAGTTGATTTAACACCGCTCGGAAATATCATTAGTGTATTTGAACAACAGCCAACACTAGATTCTGTCATTTCTTTATCAAACTACGATAATCACATTGATGTAGCAAAAATTCTACATTATTTACAAAATATATTTGAAAAAACATCAATTGAATATCCACAGTTATTAAATGTGACATTAACAGTTGACTTGACATTAAACTGGTTGCTGAATGTTTATGATACGTAAGTGTTGCAATTATACATTAAACATTCTTATCCTTATCCTTCCATGTTTAGATCTCGAACAGGAACAATTCGTTTATTATCAATAAAAATTGCATTAGCATTACTTTGTCGTGGAAATATCGAAGAGAAATATCGATGTAAATAAATTAAACAGTTTATCTGAGCAGACACGTTTTGAGATTGTCGTCTTTCCATTTTTCTAGATATTTTTTCCCTCGCTGCTAGTGAAGGCGAGGCAAAAGATATGGTTAATAGAAAGAACTTATCAATTTTGTTCCATGAAGCAATAATGGTACAGATTTTTTGTGTCTCTCTAATTTATAAAGCTATATTTCCATATTTATTCTAGATACCTAAGCAATTGGGAGAAGTAGCTGCATTCGGTGGTTCCAGTGTTGAGCCATCCGTTAAGAGCTGCTTTGAATACGTACGTATTTCAAAATAACATTTATGTTCCTTAACAAGCATTTTCTCATCTATAATTGTATATTTATATATTTTTTTTCTGATTTTAGGCGAATAATCCTGATGCTATCAGCGCTACTGATTTTCTTGAATGGGTAAAACTTGAACCTCAATCGCTTGTATGGTTACCTGTTATGCATCGCTTGGCTGCCAGTGAAAATGCTAAACATGAAGCACGTTGTAATATTTGTAAAGAGTATCCGCTTATTGGTTTTCGTTATCGTTCATTGAAACATTTCAATTGCGATATTTGTCAAAACTGTTTTTTCTCTGGAAAACAAACAAAATTTTATAAACTAGATGATCCATTACAAGAATATTATACAACTGTAATTATAACTTTTAAGCATAAACTCCACAAATTTGGCTATTATTTATTCATTTCTCCTTTTAGACAACAGCGTCTGAAGATATCCGAGATTTTTTTCGAATATTTAAAAACAAACTCTGGTCTAAACATCGTAAACAACCAAAATTAGGATATCTTCCATTACCGCTATCATTCGATGAAACAAATGATTCAATAGTAGCAGCAGCTACCGTCACAACTTCAAATCAAAAGTAAATTTTGAACAATATTATTTCTGCGGAGACGAGCGTTTTTAAAACTAACTTTATTTCTTTTCTTTAGCTCTACTAATATCGTCAATTATTCACCAACTCCTGCTACTCGCGCATACACTCAGCAGAGTGTAGTTGAGTCGTAAGTGAACAAATTATTTAATTCATCCGATGCTCTTTAAATTGAACTTCTTATCCTGTTTTTCTAGAGATGATGAGCATTCAATTATTGCTCAACATTGTCGAAATTTGAATAATTTTATTCAGTCATCCGTATGTGTTTTTTTTGGAAACTCTTTATCGTATGACAAGCACTTATTAAAGTACATTTGAATTTTCTTATAGCCTCGTCTACCAACCGCGTCAATGTCATCAACAGAACTATTAACACGATCCTCATCATTAGACAATGAACAACGACATGAATTAGAAGCAATAATAACAGATTTAGAAGATGAAAATCGTTTATTACAAAATGAATATAATCGTTTATGTAAACAACATATTGAAAAATCACAATTAATAAATGAACATGAACATTCGTCTAATGAACAAATAATGTCCTATAATGATTTAGAAATGTTACGTGAAGCAAAATTATTACGTCATCATAAATGTAAATTAGAGGCGAGAATGAAAATATTGGAAGATCATAATAAACAACTTGAATTACAATTGAGAAAATCAAAGCAGCTACTAAGACAAGTAAAAAATGTTAGACTTTTATCGTTCTTCGTTGTTTCAATTTTTTCATTGGATTTTAGCCGAATACACGTTCACCAGCTCTATCACACCAATCAGTCAGACAAATGAGCCTTGGACATATGTCAGGTAGGATTTTTTAACAATAGGATATGATCTGATTATAGACTTTCATTCTATCAGTAGGTGGTGAAAGTAGCAGTCCAATTCACACATCAGGTACCTCTTTAAGAAGATCGGTCGAGCGAAGCTTGGAACGACAGCCAAGTAAGTGTTTATATACTTCTCTTGTACTTTCCCCATGCAAAAAGACTACCTTTGTCATCTTTTATTGTATTTATGTTTATTAAGATCTTATTACAATCGATAATTTGTTTTCAATGGCTGATGATATAAATCGTGCTGTAGTCGATTTAGTACAAATTATTACTGATCACAATGGTCAACCTACTCAGCAACCTTCTCAGCAACATCATCGACGCCAGCCAACATCTGACAATGAATTAAAAACGTGAAATTTATCTGTATTGTTGTTGTTGTTGTTGTTGTCTTTATCTGTGTTTTACTCAGAATATTTTAAACTTTTTTTTATAACGTTGTTTTTTTGTATTTGTGTTTGTGCGAGAATTAACAGTGTATGTCTGATTATCAATTTAATCAAAATTTTTTTGCACAACGATCATACTAATTATACTCAGGTTTATAGTCGAACGCATTTTTTTTTTATTTCATTTTTGCTAAAAAGAAAATACATTTTTGAGAATTATTTATTTATTTACATTTTTGTTTGTTTTTCTATTTTTCATGTTTGTTAACGGATTGTTTTGTTGTTTATCTGTTTTTGTAAATTTTAATAATAAAGATATTTGGTAGTAAAAATATGTATAAGATCAACTTTACGTTCTTTCATGGCGTCATACAATATGGTAGCAAATATTGTGTTCAATTTAATATAGTATAGCATAGAAAATGTTGTATTAGTTGAATTAAACACACGTCTTTTGATTTGTATTTTATTTTCTCAGAATACCAGCAAAAATAAATATGTCTTGTACAATCCTTACATTAATTGTCACAGATATCGTTAAACTGTGCCTAGCAATTTTCGTTTTAGATTCGGGTAGCTCTGAACAACATCTGTTATAAGTTTATGTTTTTTTTTTAATTCAATCATTTCAGACTTGGATGAACTGAAATTTCAGGTGATTGAATTGTAAACAATTAAAAAACCTACAAAACAAATAATCGTTTCTACTGCACAACTTATCCAAGTATGATATTCAAGCTTAACTTTATTATTTTATTTTGGATCAGTAGAAGTTTTCTGTCAAAATTAATATTTTTCTTTTTCAGATGTCTCGTTTATCATTTGTTCTGGTTCGAAAATGTTTGAAACCATTACAAATAGTTCGAACGTTTACATCCTTGAATACTGTCGTTGCTGAACAAGATAAACTTTTAGTTCAAAATAAAAATCCACTCCCCACTGGTTCTAAACGGACACCATTATTTAATTTTCATATGAGTCATCAAGGACGAATGATCGATTTTTCTGGCTGGCAATTACCTGTTCAATATAGCGCAAGTATTGTTCAATCTCACATACATACACGAGCACATTCTAGCCTATTTGACATTTCACATATGTTACAAATTAAAATACATGGAAAAGATCGTATTAAATTTATCGAACAATTGGTTGTGAGCGATATTGAAAATTTAAATATTAATTCAGCTTGTCTAACGTTATATACAAATAAAATGGGAGGTATCATTGATGATTTAATTATAACAAAAACGACCGATTATTTATATGTTGTATCAAATGCCGGCCGGTAGGTTGCAACGATCCCTCATTCCATGTGCAAGAAATTGGGGAAATAGTATGCCTTACTTTAAGAGCTGAAAATGATTTAAGACATTTGAATGAACAATTGGAAAAATCAAACGATTTGGATGTGAACATCGAAGTATTATCCAATCAAGCATTATTGGCACTACAAGTAAGAATGTATAATACTGATGTTAAATTTTATTCCTATTTTGAATTGTCTCGTTTAGGGTCCGTCCTCTTCGGTTGTATTGCAAAAGTTCGTTCCATTTGACTTGGCAACTCTCGCCTTCATGGAGAGTGCATCGACGACATTTTCAAACACAATCCAATGCCGTATTAATCGGTCTGGTTATACCGGTAAGCATAAAGGCTTTTTTTGTTAAGAAATATCTTTCAAATTCATCTGTACTAGTTAACATTGCTGACTTAAATTTTTTAATATAAAATTATCGTTTGTTTTTGTGGATAGACATCCTATAATCGAACTAAACTCTCTCTTTTCTTTCGTTAGGCGAAGATGGTTTTGAAATTAGCCTTGATGCTACTGATGCAGAACAAGTTGCTTCGTTACTCTTAGAATCGAGCGAGGTAGCTCTAGCTGGTCTAGGTTGTCGTGATTCATTGAGATTAGAGGCTGGTTTATGTCTTTATGGAAATGATATAGATGAAAGGACAACACCTGTAGAAGCTAATTTAACATGGACTATTGGTAAAAGACGGCGAGAATTAGCCGATTTTCCAGGAGCCGACATTATTTTACGACAAATTCGAGATGGAGTTGAACGAAAACGAGTTGGAATAGTAACAAATGGACAGTGTCCACGTTCTGGCTCTGCAGTTATAGATCAAAAAGATGAAAAAATTGGACTAATAACGAGTGGATGTCCCTCACCATCACTTAAGTATAACATTGGTATGGGCTATGTATCCACGGCTAATGCCAGAATTGGCACAGGTGTCTATTTAGTTGTGAAAAATAAAAAGATTCAGGGAAATATTGTCAAATTACCGTTTGTACCATCTAAACATTATAAACCAAACGCAACGAAAAAATAATGTCACCATCTAATTTTGTATGTTCCTATTCTAGCAATAGATAACTAAAGAAACATTGTTAACTTATTATTTTGAAAAATAAGCTTTGAGATTTCTTCTTTTTCACTAAGTTTTCCGGTGCAACAGTTGTTCACTTTATTGATGTGTAATGGTTAATTCTTTTGAAAATATATCATGTTTACATCCACTGGATCCGAATCGTTAAATATTAAACGCGTCTTTTCAAGCCCCATCTGATGAAGTGGCCCTCATTGAGATTTGAAAACGTTTAACCATAGAAAACAACCAACTTTTGAATGCCAGGCTCTTCATTTTTAAGAGTTTTAGCAAGTGCTGCGCATCTATAATTCCACGGGATTATAGAACGGAAGTTGACCTACTGAGGACACGCGTTGAATGCATATCTTGTTGTCTTGTTTTGGCTTGATTCCGTGGAGAAAAGATGATTTACAAAACGAGCCTATTTTTCGAAAAAAGCGACCCTTTTAAAAGTTTTCCTGAGACTCTCCGTAACGTTTTGAAATTTTTCGTCTATTAGAGATTCTATAGATTTTAATCTGGCAATTGCAGCTCAAACAAATATTTCGTTTAAACAATGATGAAATGTCCGTTTTGCTGGGAAATGGGACCTACTAGGCACGAAAGGGCACCGCACTGTTGTTTTAAAATCTTTTGAACATGATAGTGGGAATCAGGAGATCGAGTTGTTCGTTTAATATTTAACGATTCGGATCCAGTGGATGTAAACGTGATATGTTTTCGAAAGAATTAGCCAATTTTCAAATTACTTTTCTTGATGATTTGTTTTTGGTCAGCCTTTTTCTATGTTTTCAAGTGAAATATATGTATTTGTTTTATGATCTGATCTGGTTATAGGATCATCATTTAGAATTGTTATAATTAAACCTACATTAACACTGTTACTGTGATATTTTTTTGTTTTGTTCAGCGCTCTACGAAAAGTAATAATCAAAAGATGATAATCATTTATTGAATACAATTACTTATTGAAGTTTGGATGAAACGAAATCTTAGTTTATGTTACATTCAGGGAGGGCTTGCTTTATTTTTTCTGGGAACTCCAGAAAATCTAAATACTTCTTTGGGTGGTAAATATGTACCCTCTGGCAGCAGGCATGGGCGAGTCCGATGGGTACTGAGTCCGAGTCCTTAAAAGTTCAAGCCGAGTTCGAGTCCATTTCAAGTTTTAGATTCTTTTTTGATGAGGGTGGTTTATATTTTAATTTCCTGAGCCCTGGATAGATATTTGATTTTTAGAAAATAAGATTACGTTCCATGTCCGTCTCCCGAACAAAATTTTCAATTTCATGTGAAACAGTAGGTGTTGTTATTTCGCTTTTTATTTTTTTCAGTTTATTTGTGTTAAAAGTTGAATAGATCGGACTCGAAATATAAAAACTCAAGTCCGAGTCTGAGTCCACCAAAAAATCTTCCAGTCCGGACTCGCCCATGTCTGTCTGGCAGATGAATTTCGATTTAACTCTCAATCTAGATAAAATCAAATATATGAAACTGCTTGTGTCAGCGTGATTGTACGCACCTTAGTCGAACGTACTTTTATTTGAACAATACAAATCTGTATTGAGTTTCTTAGAACGAAATATGATATTTTCTCTTTCTTATACATCATATCGAACATGTTCATCTTAAAAGTCAATAAAATGAAGAAGCTTTTATCAAAAGCCTGTAATCCACAGGGTATTTCTGAGCAACAATGATGACTAGACTAGTGCCTGCATATATTATATAAATGAGTATTTTGAATTTATCTGATGATTTAGTCCGTTGTCATTATTTTTCAGTGAGATTAACTAATTTCTATAATTTTATAGAGAATCTAATGAATTGTCAAAAGTTGTTTTGGTAAAAATCTTCATCGATTTTGAGTTACAACCATTCTGCTAAGTTACATTGCGTTTGGACATTCCGATAAATAGTAAGGATTTTCTGTGTCAAGAGAACCTGAAGATATGACTAATGACAGTTCCACTTATGTTATAGTTTGTGTTTTCTAACTATGGCATTGAAGTCGAGATTTGTGCTGGTAATAGATTTTTAATTTAAAAGTAGCATTTACCACTTCAATCTTTGGAACAAGAAAAAAAGCAAAAATACTTAAAACATTTTTCTAAATCACAAAAGAAAACAGTCACTGAATAATCCTTAATGTATTCAAATATCAATAATAAATTTGAATAATGATTTTACTCCTCTGTCCTTTAAGCTACTACAAAATGAATCAAGTTATCTTTGTCTGATATATCACTCACGAATATTAAAAGAACTGAAACAAAGATCAAAGCTCTTATATCAATATTACTCCTGTATTTTACTTAGCATATCATTTTTTATTAATTCTTCTAATCCTCTGATAAAAAAATTTAAATAACTCTATTATTTCTCAACATATTTAGGACATTAATTTGTTATTTGAAAAATCATTTAACAAAAATTGTGTGTAGAACAAGAGCACAATGTAACTTTTCATTTTACTCGTTTTATTAAGTCAAAAAACATCAGACATCTACCAAAACGATTTTAAAACTGCTGAAAAACAATATCTTACAAAGTGCTGCCTAAACATTAACTAATGTCTGATGGCTGATTTTTTTTATTACATTGATATTACTTGTCCAGATCAAAGCTCGAATAAAGAGTTTTTAAAGGATAAAAGCGCACATTTCATTAGAAATATTCAACCTGAATTTTTGAAAAAGTTAAAAAATTACTCTTTTGGAATAAAAATAATTTGAAGCTTTGAAAAACTAGATCAAACATGTTGTTTCGTTCTTGTATTGTTTCAAATGGAATATTGCTCAAAAAGATCTGATGAATCGTTTTGAAACTATGGTGAAAATATTAAAATTTAAGTTTCTGTGGACAAAAATTATGCGATGTCACTTTTTACTTAACAAGCTCGAGGTGTGCTGGTTTTTACACGCTATAATGGTCTATAGCGGCGTATTCTATGAAAAACATTTTAAATGAGACAAAGACCAAAATAACGAATTACAGTAAAGAAAAAAGTAAAGAAAAAAAAGAATATTTTTATCCAGCTCATTTGACTTTAAAATCAACTTTTGAAGGTTATAAATGTCTAATCCACAAAATTTTTTTCCTTGTCAATGTAGACAAAGCATTGTGATAAACTGACTATTCTCTAGGATTTCTTTTAACCACTTCGCCTAGAATAATCATCTTAGAGAGAGAGAATATGGATATTATGGTACATATTTAATTCTATATGTACACATTATATTGTTATAATTTACCGCTCTGGGTCTCTAGAATCGCTGGTATTAGTAGCACTTGTTAATATGAAATAAATACATGATTGTCCATTCATGCTTGTCTCTCGTCGCGAGCTGGTTCTATTGATCACTTATCATAGAGGTTAGTATCCATTTTGGGTGCACCGTTGTTCGATTTCAAGGTCTATCGTAGTTGATTCGATGTAAGGTAAATGAGAAAAGTACCGATTTTTAAGCTGCAGAGGTGGCGAATAATGCGTTGTTCTCATTGATATCTCGTGTAGGGAACTTTTGGGATTCATTGCGGTACACTTAATATTTATCAACGACTCTTTTTTAGACCAACTACAAGGAATCTACAAGTATAAAGACTCATTTATTAAACACATAGCGAAATCAGGCATAGAGTTTACCTTTAATCGTACATTCATTCGATTATGCTAACCTACCATTAATCATACTAGCACCAACATATATTCGTTCACTTAGCTACGTGATACATTCCTGCTGTATTTAAAGTCTGGGTTATATCATTCACTATGAGTATGACATGAGTATACAGTTTTTAAAATCCAATACAAGAAAAAACTGCACTTTAGCTATAACGAAATACAACACAGTTGTACAATTTAAGCAGAAACTCATAGATTCTCGTCATAAGATCATTTTTAGAAGAAAAAAGTTATATAACTCTCGGATTTGATACACAATAAGTTAAGTCAGCACTATATAATATACCTGATGTTCAAATATACATGTTAGTAGAGTAATTTCGTTACATATAGGACAAATTCACTTTTTTCAATAATAATCGGCCCTCGAATTGTCTCTTTTGTATCAATTATTTTTATACTTTAGAAGTTGATGAAAGTCTAGTATTCCTTTTCTGATACAAAGGGTGTTATTAATAAAAATATGATTGGCCGACTTGGGTTCGGAGTTTCTAGTGATGCTTCTCAAAGGGATATGATACATATTTAGAAAGGGAGAGTACTACTGTGCTTCACAGACTGTAAATCGAAGAACTGATATATTTTTAAAACTAAGAAGTTAATTCAAATTTCTTTCATTTTTTTCTCAAATTTTAGAATTAACAATAAACAACTAGTTATTGCTTGTGCATAATTCGTGCAAAAGAATGGTTGCAAAAGTAAAATTGTTGTATTTTGGTGTACTCGCGTTGGTTGCGATAGCATTCATTTTTCATGTGGTGGCAATGGGACACCATCGTTGGAAAATCGCCTCATCAAAACAGAACAACACGAAAACAACAATTGGTTTATTCACAAGATGTTTCCTAAATTCAGATATTAAGTCGGAAACTTGTGTTCCCAATTCATTTCCCGACAGTTCTAGTTTACAGACTGCTGGCTGTGATGTTGCACAAATTTGTTCATTTCGAACACAAGATTGTGGCTGTGATTATGCGCCATCAACAAAAGGTATTGCTGCGTGTGCAATAATAGCAGCTATATTCCTTGGACTATCACTTCTTATAATATTTGTTCATTCAATAAATACGTCTAGTACACGTGTGCTCGACTTATTACTCGGTTTATTGCCATTTGTTTTACTTGTTTTGTCATTTATATTCATTCTAATTACATTGATATTAGTTGGTAGCTATTTGTCAAGAGATATGATGCTTGTAGAAGGCTTATTTAAAAATCGTAAGTAAGAAGCTTATTTCTGAGGCTGAAGCGTCAGACATAACTTCAGTTTTGAGATAAGAAGAGAAGTTATTCGCCTTCCAATCGACTATTTTTTATTATTTCTAGCCTCAGATTTGTCGGGACATCGGAATCGGGTAAATGATTACTGGAGTGTGCGGATCGATTGGTCAACTATTTTGGAAATTATTGCATTAGTTTTGACTTTTATATCCGTTATACTCTATGGTTTGTTCGTATTCACAAGTCGATCGCGCTAAACCATGTACTTTGATTTGTATGATTGCTAATTATTACTTTATTGCTTTCTCGACGTTTCTGACCCGTAAAAGAATAGACTTATGCAGCGACAACAATAGAAAATGCTTTATCAATCAGTTAACTTTGTTTTTATAAGTTTTGCATTTGAAATGTGTAACATGTAGATGAAGATAAGCAAATCAACCCTTGTTCTTATCTGATCGACCAAAATACTCTCTCAAATAGATTAAAACGATGCAGACTAACTAAGTATCGATACACTTTTAAAAACTATAAATTCTGTTGGAAGAAATATCTGTTAACATTTGCATTATACTAATCAACTATTTTTGTAGAGTATCTGTCAATTATGTCATTTCTTTTTGTACAATTTTTTTAATAATAACAGTTTCATTTATGCAAAAGAAAAATTTTAGTTTTCTCTGGATATATTATCTTCAACGTAGCAAAATCAAAACGTATAATCTCATTGTAATTATTTATTGAACTGTTACTTGAAAAAAACGGTCATAGAATACATTACGCAAATCATTTTTGTACCAGTATGTTATAAAATCGTAAAAAGAAAAAATGATATGCTTTTGTTAAGCATATTTAGCAAACATCATCATCTTCTCCCATGAAAGTCCACAAATTAAATAAAACTAAATAAAAGTTCAAAAATCGTCATCGTAAAAGTTTTCTTATGCAAGAAAGTTCTTATTTAAATAAAATGCAATTAAAAAGACAAGTAACATTGATATGTTTCAATTTGTCAAACTGTTAGAAATAAAAATAACTTCTAAAAGCGCGAAAAATATCACATAAGTGAGATTTTGATAATAGCAGAAGATACTATTGTCATATATGCAAGAGATTAGCAGCAATGTTCGTTTCTATATAGAAACAGGAATCGATATTGGTTAGTAAATCATTTATATGGGAGTTCATTACTTTTTATCAATCGATAGACTTCTGAATAGGGGTGGTACATTACTGTTACTTTTTCGAGTAATCCAAATATTGTATATATTCCTATTACCAGTAATAGTAACACTTTTCAGTTTTACTGCTGCTAGTAATAGGAATGTTCATCAAATTTGTACTAGCAACACTAGAACTGAAAAGTGTTACTGTTACTGGTAATAGGAATATATACAATATTTGGATTACTCGGAAAAGTAACAGTAATGTGCCACCCATACTTCTGAGTAAATTAATTGTGTACTTCTGATTCTTCCAGGTTCTCATTGGTCTATTTTAACTAATGCAAAGTGATGTCACGGAAAATCCGTTTTTAGATGTCATTAGGATGTGATATTACCACAGAAAAAATGTTAACAAAATATATATAAAGTCACAGTTAAAACGCGACATTAGTTTTCATGATATCACATTTTTACTGTGACTTTTTATGTTTTTGCCGTTACTTTTTTTACAGTGCATTAACTGACTAATATAAAGAGGCCTAGTAATTCAACTTTTTATTTCAAAATTTTTACTACTAATGACAAGTTAAAAGACTCGTTTTCAATAAATCTATTAATGACTGAAGAATATTTTCATCGTTTTCAATGGTTCTAGCGATGAAACTATCAAACGAAGTCGTAAAATAATCTCCATGGAATAAAGTGATAAGCAGAATTTTCTAGTCTTAATATTTAATACTGCTTAAATATTTCCAAAATGGAAGATCGTAACCATCTCGGTAAAATCGTCTTGTATGAACACAACCTGCCTCTCTCATCTCGTTTATAATTCTCATCGTATTAAGAAATTTAATTAATTTGCGAAACAAACACAAATAGAAAAAAATGCGTCTCATCTACATATGCTGTGCTTTAAATCATTATTGTTTAGATAGGTGTAATGTAAAATCATTTCATAGTTAGGAACACAGATATGGGCAACTCAACTTTTTCCGGCACGTATGTTAACAAAACGACGCAGCGACTGACAATGTGCAAATGTAACGATGATTTCATATAACAGTTTTGCTCGTTTTTTTCGTGGCAGCGCTTATCACTATATTATTTCCTTGTTCATGATATTTTTGTGCCAATACATTTTGCTTGTTTAGTATATACTGCTCTTTTCTTTTATTTGTACTTTATCGCGATATAGAACATTATTCTATGCGATTCGAAGAAATGAAAAAAATGGAATCGAACAGAGTAAAGCTGATCTGGGCTAAGCTGAGTTGAATCAAGCATTTCCTGAAGCGCATGTGAGGTGTGTAGGGAAATCCATGAGTTGCTCATCTACATGCGCGGGCCGGGAAAGTTTTTTTAGGAGGGCAATACATTTTTAGAGTAATGCATACACAAACGTGCTTTCCTTCATAATTTTTGTCCGTGCTAACACACTGCTCCTTCATTTAAACAGTACATCAAATTTTTCGATCCAGAGTTGCTCGTTCTTAATTTTGAACTGCGAACAGATACTCTGCTGCGAAATACAATTCTTCACAGGGCAACAACTGCTTATTGCCCTTGATATCTTTTTCCAGGAGGGGCAATTTCCCTGCTGGCGGCTCGTCAATGCTCATCTTTAGCACGAAACACAAAGTATTATTATAATATTATTAAGTATCATTTAGCATTGCTATATTTTAATTAATTCAAATTAAGTAAAAACTAATTGGTCCTACAAAACAATTTAGAGTGGCACTTTGTCGGCATACAATATATCTGCACTAGTGCACCTTCTGGGCGTTGGTGCTGGTGACTAATAGCTGGGTTGTACACTGGTGCGTACTGTACTTTCTACTAGTATAGTAACGTAAGATCAATAAAATATTTCGTTATTAATTTCAAACGCCCTTTATCATTCGTGGCACTAGCCATAATCAATGTTAATTTCCTGACTAAGTCGACAACAATTGATTTTGTTATCATTGCCAGCAGTATGATATAAAAAGCTATGAAGATTGAATTTTCAGCTTTCGAAAAGAAGTAGACTGCTTAGAAAATTTTTACCACTAATTGTTTTTGGAAAGTTCGACATACAACATCTTCACTTAAAATAAATTGCTCAAAACTCCTGCCAAAACGTCGGTTGCATCACTACTCAAGAATCTTATGTTTCTTGATTAGCGTGACGAGGAATGGAACTCAGGTAAACATACATTGTTCTTAGTCACTAATACAACCGACAAAGAATTCAGGAAATAAAAACATAAGTGAATCAATTGTTTGTTCCTGTTTTAGAGGTGGTATTCAAACGCTAATCGAATCATAGCGTCATATTGGATGTGGATAACATTCAGTATTGATCAACTACTGACTGGACGTTTAGAATAAAGATCTTTAAGGGTACCCCCCCCCTAATTTTTTTCCGTTAAAAGGAAAACTGCATTGATGAATTAGGATTGAAAGAGAAACGAAAGCAAAAAAATAGGCTTTCTTTTTAAAATAGTTCCAGATCTGAATGAAATATTTAGCCTGGTCGGTATTCATAATGATCAGCCATAAGCAATGATTAATTTCAATAAGAAAAATGAGCCTAATAATTTGATTTTCCAAAGATTAACAAATAAAATATATGTCTTTAACCGCCAGAAACTGTACTTCTTTCTTTAACATTAAACACACACACGCATGTACGCACAGAGAAAAAAGAAGAGTAAAAAACAAACAAAAAAGAAAGAAAACTTAATTTTATATTGAACTTGTATCGTTTAATCGTAATCACTGTAATCAATATCGTTCGCTGAGTATGCATCATCAACGTTAAGATTTTGTAAGTCGACTTTATAACGTAGAATACCTGAACACACAGTAGAAGTTAATAATAATAACAATGAATCTGCGTGTTTTTAAACTTACCGCCAACACCGCCAAATCCCCTCACGAACTGAGAGCCCTCTTGACTTTTATCCGTAACTATTTCAAGCGTAGCTCCTACAATTAAATCAAAGTATAACACACCAGACTATAATAGACAAACAATTTAAACGTACCAAAATTTTTATAATTATTTGCCAGCCATTCGAGTAGTGGTAATGCTTCGACTGCTTCTAAGTCTACCCCTGTATCTTTATCTTGAAAATGTGATTTTTCTTTTTCTTGATCCAATCTTAGATGTACAGTTTTAGTTTCTTGTGTTTGATTATTTCTTAATACATAACGCATAACATCAAAATTTTCCCATACAATTAATGTCTCAACTGCTCCCATTTCTAACGCTTTTAATGTATCATCAACGCCAAAACAATACTGGCCTGAATCTTTTGATACTTCATCAAAATAACGTGCTTAAAAAGAAATTATTTAAATCAGGCACATATTTTGTTAATATCACACTGCTTACAGATAAGTTTTTTTTCTTGAATGAATTTTACATCACCAAGCGTTTCACTTGCCAGTTCAATAGCTTGATTAAAACCATTTTCACCACCATAAGATACATCAACACGTTTTAACACTTTAACTTGTAAACGCTAGAAAACACAAAACTCGTGCTTTCATGAGTTTATTTCAAGAGAGATATATAGATACGTACAGGATCAAACATATCTGACTGATGTAATTCTGTTTTGAAATCAGCTAAACCAGCCAAAATAATTCCCGTTACATTCACTTTATCATCTGTTATAAAACATTGTACGGCTGTTTCAGCTACTTTTCGTACATAATTATGGCGTTTTTCCATTCGTAAACGAGCAAAACGTAAGGCACTCTGACCACCACGGCCATGCTTTTTTGGTAAATCAACGTTAAATTTTGTGAGAACTTCACGAGAATTCCCTTGTAATGTTCCAAACAAGGCCCCATTTCCATCTATGACAATAAAACCAAAACGTGAATCATCCGCTAATAATGCTTGCAATGCCTAAGAATAAACAAATCAAAATAACCAAAAAATATGCTTGTGTTACATGGAGATAGACTCCCATTTAGCAAAGGTCGAAAAGTGAATAAGGTACATTTCAAAGCAAATTACCAGATAACTCCTTCTGGAAGATGTTTTATCAATATTCTTAGATAGATCTTGAATTTAAATAAGCGTTTAAGTCACGGCTTAATCTTGTTTTAAAGCTGACTTGATCCTTGATCTTTCATTGAAGCTATTATGTGTCGAACCAAGTTTTCGTTTCCACTTAAGTTTGCCTTAACTCCATAGGACATGATCTTAAGTTAAACCGGTTGGCTGAGTTAACACTATAAAAGGATTTACTAAACTACATTAAACGTTGTCTGTACTTAAGACTTAATGATAACAACTCTACAAACCACTGGATTATCAACAGTGTTTCTAATGAGAATTTTACAGAAAGTCGTTTTCTACAGTTTAGAAATTGAATCTACAAAACGAAGACCACTTTACTCTTGCTTGGACTATCAATCGTTGAAACGCTAATTATCAGTACAGTTCAGCTAAAACAATCGAATAAACAAATTCCGAAACTTACTTCTGTATGAAATTTGTTATCACATAAATATAATGATGTATTGATTGGTTTAAATGGTTCAAAATCAATGTTGACTTTTTTTTCTTTTCCGTCGTCTGTGACAATTGTTCCACAATAAATAACAAGACCATTCAGAGGAACTAGAAATAGAGAAAACAGATATGTTAACTAGTGTTGTTGTGCTTGTGTTTAGAATCGATTTACCTCTGTTATATAATTTCAGTCTTGCTTGTACAGATGTGATAGCTGACAATACAGACAAACGATTCACACGAGATTTTATATTTGCTGCTGTGCCGTATTCATCTGCCAACATTTTTGCTACTCTTGGAATTTGATCTCGTGGGGGAATTATCAACGATATCATACTTGTGCCATTTCTGATTATTAATATAGAAGATAAAGATATAATGTTCAAAGGCAAGTTATAAATCATACATACCCTCTTGCCGCTTCTAAACTTTTAATTAATTTCTTAATTTTCCAAATTTCAACATTTTTATCTGATGACTCTTGTTGATCAGCCATGACTTTTTAATATACAAATCTCGAAAATCAATTAATTCTTTTCGAATGGATGCTGGCTGTATTTCATACACAGCTGAACAAACGCTTTCCACCTTATATTATAAATTGTAATGTAGCAAGAATTTATGAAATCCTGAAAAAATATAAGTCATCAGATCGATGTGAAGACCAATCACAAATTTCAAAAGTACCTTCTTATCGATTAAATTTTCCAACTTGCTGTGATGTGCAGAAAGCTTCAATTGCCAAACATAGTTTGAAAGAGTCTGATATTTTTCAAACGGCCAGTATGTCTCTAAGCTTGATTTAGGTTGAAAGGCCTTGTCTATACTACAAAAGTTAAAGGAGCATTAAGCAATTCTATTGGCTGAAAGTTAGGGAGAAGTTAAGTGGTGGTGATGTTTTCGACATCACTTATCACAAGTCGACAATCTTGAGATCATTTCTGACGGAATCTTGATTTCAGTACTTTCTTCCTGAGAAAGCCATTTTTTTCAGATTTTTAGTCAGAATCTGATGGTGTGTAGTCATACGACCCTGGCTCGTACAATCAAAAGCCAGTTGGGCACTCACCAATACACTTGAAATTAACAAAGAGACTCATTTTTACGGGACTTTTTTTAGTACATATTATAGCTGATATCAAGACTTTTTAGAATGTATATTCAGAGTTCTCTAGCCAGAAGCCGTTACTGAGATATCAGTGTTTTTCAAACAATCTCCTGATTCAGACCAGAATGGACTGATC